GTATTTATGTTTATATTACACGAGGCAACTACTCCGAAATTAAAATTTTAAAGTAATAGAAGTTTAAATTAAAATTATTTTAAGTCCCGCGCGCGATTCAGACTTTTTAATGTTTAAATAAATGTACTGTTGTTTAAATATTACTCTATTCTATCCCGCGTGCAATAAAAATCGTTTAAATAATTATAAAATTACCGATTATATTAATTTATAAGCGTTATTATTTAGAAATTACAATCACGATGTGCATAGAACGAAGTGCAAGAGAAAACTAACTCACGAACTGTCAAAGTCATGAAAAAGTGTATTTATGTTCATATTACACGAGGCAACTACTCCGAAATTAAAATTTTAAAGTAATAGAAGTTTAAATTAAAATTATTTTAAGTCCCGCGCGCGATTCAGACTTTTTAATGTTTAAATAAATGAACTATTGTTTAAATATTACTCTATTCTATCCCGCGTGCAATAAAAATCGTTTAAATAATTATAAAATTATCAATAATATTAATTTATTAGCTTTCGCGTTTAGAAAAGTGAATCACGTTGTGCACAGGTCGGAGGACAAGAGAAAACTAACTCACGAACTGTCAAAGTCGTGAAATAATGCGTTTATGTTTATATTACAGGAAGCAACTACTCCGAAATTAAAATTTTTAAGTAATAGAAGTTTAAATTAAAATTATTTTAAGTCCCGCGCGCGATTCAGACTTTTTAATGTTTAAATAAATGTACTGTTGTTTAAATATTACTCTATTCTATCCCGCCTGCAATAAAAATCGTTTAAATAATTATAAAATTATCGATAATATTAATTTATTAGCTTTCGCGTTTAGAAAAGTGAATCACGTTGTGCACAGGTCGGCGGACAAGAGAAAACTAACTCAAGAACTGTCAAAGTCGTGAAAAAGTGTATTTATGTTTATATTACACGAGGCAACTACTCCGAAATTAAAATTTTAAAGTAATAGAAGTTTAAATTAAAATTATTTTAAGTCCCGCGCGCGATTCAGACTTTTTAATGTTTAAATAAATGAACTATTGTTTAAATATTACTCTATTCTATCCCGCGTGCAATAAAAATCGTTTAAATAATTATAAAATTATCAATAATATTAATTTATTAGCTTTCGCGTTTAGAAAAGTGAATCACGTTGTGCACAGGTCGGCGGACAAGAGAAAACTAACTCAAGAACTGTCAAAGTCGTGAAATAATGCGTTTATGTTTATATTACAGGAAGCAACTACTCCGAAATTAAAATTTTTTAGTAATAGAAGTTTAAATTAAAATTATTTTAAGTCTCGCGCGCGATTCAGACTTTTTAATGTTTAAATAAATGAACTATTGTTTAAATATTACTCTATTCTATCCCGCGTGCAATAAAAATCGTTTAAATAATTATAAAATTACCGATTATATTAATTTATAAGCGTTATTATTTAGAAATTACAATCACGATGTGCACAGAACGAAGTGCAAGAGAAAACTAACTCACGAACTGTCAAAGTCATGAAAAAGTGTATTTATGTTCATATTACACGAGGCAACTACTCCGAAATTAAAATTTTAAAGTAATAGAAGTTTAAATTAAAATTATTTTAAGTCCCGCGCGCGATTCAGACTTTTTAATGTTTAAATAAATGAACTATTGTTTAAATATTACTCTATTCTATCCCGCGTGCAATAAAAATCGTTTAAATAATTATAAAATTATCAATAATATTAATTTATTAGCTTTCGCGTTTAGAAAAGTGAATCACGTTGTGCACAGGTCGGAGGACAAGAGAAAACTAACTCACGAACTGTCAAAGTCGTGAAATAATGCGTTTATGTTTATATTACAGGAAGCAACTACTCCGAAATTAAAATTTTAAAGTAATAGAAGTTTAAATTAAAATTATTTTAAGTCCCGCGCGCGATTCAGACTTTTTAATGTTTAAATAAATGTACTGTTGTTTAAATATTACTCTATTCTATCCCGCCTGCAATAAAAATCGTTTAAATAATTATAAAATTATCAATAATATTAATTTATTAGCTTTCGCGTTTAGAAAAGTGAATCACGTTGTGCACAGGTCGGCGGACAAGAGAAAACTAACTCAAGAACTGTCAAAGTCGTGAAATAATGCGTTTATGTTTATATTACAGGAAGCAACTACTCCGAAATTAAAATTTTTTAGTAATAGAAGTTTAAATTAAAATTATTTTAAGTCTCGCGCGCGATTCAGACTTTTTAATGTTTAAATAAATGAACTATTGTTTAAATATTACTCTATTCTATCCCGCGTGCAATAAAAATCGTTTAAATAATTATAAAATTATCAATAATATTAATTTATTAGCTTTCGCGTTTAGAAAAGTGAATCACGTTGTGCACAGGTCGGAGGACAAGAGAAAACTAACTCACGAACTGTCAAAGTCGTGAAAAAGTGTATTTATGTTTATATTACACGAGGCAACTACTCCGAAATTAAAATTTTAAAGTAATAGAAGTTTAAATTAAAATTATTTTAAGTCCCGCGCGCGATTCAGACTTTTTAATGTTTAAATAAATGAACTATTGTTTAAATATTACTCTATTCTATCCCGCGTGCAATAAAAATCGTTTAAATAATTATAAAATTATCGATAATGTTAATTTATTAGCTTTCGCGTTTAGAAAAGTGAATCACGTTGTGCACAGAACGAAGTGCAAGAGAAAACTAACTCACGAACTGTCAAAGTCATGAAAAAGTGTATTTATGTTTATATTACACGAGGCAACTACTCCGAAATTAAAATTTTTAAGTAATAGAAGTTTATATTAAAATTATTTTAAGTCCCGCGTGCGGTTCAGACTTTTTAATGTTTAAATAAATGTACTATTGTTTAAATATTGCTATATTCGATCTCGCGTGAATTAAAGATCATTTAAATAATTATTAAATTAACGAGGGTATTAATTTATAAGCTTTCGCATTTATAAAGAGAAAGCATTATGTGCAGACTTCGGAGAGCTACAGAAAGCTACCTGGATAATCGTCAAAGTTAAGAAAAAGCGCTTTTTTGTTTACATTATGTAAGGCCAACCACCCCGCAATTGAAATTTGAAAGTATAGTAATTTTATATTAAAATTATTTTAATATTCTAGTGCGTTTTCGTTTTCTAAATGTTTCAACTAATGTACTATTGATCAAATATTAGTTTATTCTATTTTGCATCCTTTAGTGACGGATCTAAAGAGTTATACAATCTTTAGCTGAATATACTGTTGTTTAAATATTCCATTATTGCATTTCGTGTACATTGTGGATTGTTTGAACAATTATAAAATTGTTGTATCCGTAAGATGATTAAAGGTAGCGTTATGTAAAGATTCTATTATGACGTTTTCTTCTCAGAGTAGGAAGGGAGACTAACGTGGTAACTTGCATTGTCCTTCCGACGGTCCTTCCTGTTTACATTCACGAACGACGAAGATCGAAATAAAGTTATTCTATCTATCGCTTCTTAAGAGCTATTCATTAATTTTATATTTAATAATATTTTTTAGTATGACATTTATGGCAAAATATCTATTTTCACATAATATAACTTAACAAAGTTTATAAATAATAGTTGTATCTCTGTATTTTCTTTTTTATATAGATACTGTGCATCACCTTTATGGGCACTTTGAGACTCCAGACATTTTCATTTCTCCGAATAATATGTCTTAATGATTATATTATAACAAAGGTGTTTAATTATATAATAATGTAATGATGATAGAAATAGTAAAATATCGTAAACATTTTATTCTATAGCCTCTTTAAAATAATTGTTTGAAAAGTGTACAATAATTGTGTAATTACATTATCATTTATGTTTATCAATATAGTTAATGTCTATTTATGTTAGATCAAATTTGGCGCCGTAACTTACGCCCTCTAATATGATAGTCAATAATTACTTTTTTCTTTAATAATAAGCAGTACCCGGCAAGTCAAATAATAGAAATAGGGCTGTATCACTCGAACGATCACTTTTAAGTATCTAAACTTTTCGACGACAATATGACGGCCGACATTTTAGGTACTCATTATATATATATACATACATCTATGTATATATATATATATACACACACACACACACACATATACACACACATAGATATATGTATGCATGCACATATACGTTAAACGTTTAATAATTTATTTCTCAATTATTTGTTATTAATTTTCGTAGTCTTATATTATTCTTAGAACTCTACGGAACATTTGAAATGTTTATAATTAAATCTTCATAATTAAAATTCGTAAAAGTTAAATAAATCATATTTTTAATCAATGATGTACACAAATATACACACACACACACGCACAAGTTTCTAGATTAATACGTCACAGCCATTAATTAAAAAATTATGTATTAACTATTAGGAACATTTTATGTAGATTAAGCATCAATAGATATTAATTATTACTGAATGTAAGGAAGAGAGATTAAAAATTCTATAAACAAAAAAAAGGAAAAAACTTGTCATTCGCGACGAAGAGGAGAGGAGTAGGAGGAGGAGGAGGAGGGAATTGAACACCGACATTTAGTTTCCCCATCTAACACGCTAGCTGTTTAAACACCAATATATTCCACCATGGCACTTGTAAAACTTATATAAAAGCACAATATCTCAACTTAAAAATCTTTATATGTACATCTCATCATTGTGTTAATTTTATTTAACTTTTCAGCATCTCATGAATCATTAATAGATTGTGATAATCATTCGGATAATTTTTGAAATTATTTACTTTTGAAAGACTGCGCCTAATCTTCTATTTTGTATAAATACATATTTAAGATTGGCATTAATTTACTCCAAGTACGAATAATTCTACATATGATTTCTGATGATTAGAATGAAGACGTAAAATAGGTCGAATTGCGAGTATGATCGAGAAAACAGGTTGCTTCTTTCGAGTAGAGTCATTCTAACCTCGTGCTGCCTCGTGCATATTCGTATTGGCGGAGGCTTGGACTGGCGGGGAGGGGAGGTGATGGCTGCGGCTGCGGCTGCGGCGGTGAATAGACGGAGGACGCGCGCGGAGTATAAGCGTGTGTCAGCGTACATCATAATACGGTGTGTTTGTGCCTCTGACATAGACGGAATAAATCGAGGAAGACATTTCTTTATTTGACGAAAGAGAGAGCAACGAGTACGCGAAAGAAAGATAAGAAGAGTGTGTGAAACGGGTCCATGGTGTGAAACGAGGATAGTAAGATGGCGGGATCACTAACGTGGTCGTGCACTTGTTGTCTACGATTCAAGTTCAGCCCAGAAGAGATCGAGCAGCGATACAAAAGTCAAGAGATCGACCGGATGCTAGAGAAAGATCGGCAAACTTTTCGCAGGCAGGTTAAACTCCTGCTTCTCGGTGCTGGAGAAAGTGGAAAATCAACATTCCTTAAACAGATGCGAATTATACACGGAATCAAATTTGAGGTATGACGAATAGTTACGTGTCCAAGTGTCGCATTCCTATCTGCCAATTTCGTTGCGATACGAGCGTCAAATTAAAGGAAAAATCGTATATTATTTATTGGCACGTACTTTATTTTCCTGCTACCTTGATCGAATCGAATGTAAAAAAATTTTTTCTTTTTTTTTTCCAACTTACGTCTCTATCCAAATGTCTTGTCTCATGTATCTTCTCTAATTACACTTGTTCATTGATGTTCAAGAAAACAACAGTGTCATTCTGATGTCCTTTACTATTCAATTTCATAAGCATAAGATAGAGCATGCAATTGAATATATTAATACTCAATCTTGATTTTATAAGAGTACACTGACCGATAGAAGTATGTTATTATCTTTCAAATTCTTCTATCATATATTTGACTTGCTAGACTTGGTCCATTCTATTAATTAAAACGTTTAAAACGTTTAAAACGTTTAAAACGTTTAATACTTCATGTTACAGCCTGAATTAATTAAAGAGTACCAGCATATAATCTATCAAAATATAATCAAAGGAATGAAAGTATTGGTAGATGCAAGAGATAAGCTGAACATACCTTGGGAAAATCCTAAAAATTATGATATTGGATATCAGTTATTGAAATTTGAGAATACCATGGTTTTGGATACTAGATTGTTCCTCCATTATGTACCAGCGTTACAAAGTTTATGGAAAGATGCATCTATTAAAAAAGCATTTGATAGAAGAAGAGAATTTCAATTAGTAAGATGCTATTTTTTATACTCTCTCTCCCTCCCTCCCTCCCCCCTCTCTCTCTGTCCCCCCTTATATGCGTTTTAGCTAAAGGTAATATTAAAATATATTAAATGAATAATTTATAAAATAATCTTCTATTTCCAGAGCGATTCGGTCCAATATTTTCTGGATAATCTCGATAGGATTGCCAAAGTGGTAATGCAATATATCATTAATAAATAATTCTTTCACTGCATGACATGATTATTTCATAAGGTGCAACCAAGAAAATCCTGTAGATTAAAATTTTGAAATATTTTATTGACCTCCGTCTTGTTTTTAGGATTATGCTCCTACGCATCAGGACATTTTACACTGTAGAAAGGCGACAAAAGGAATTTCAGAATTTGTCATACCAATAAACAATATTCCATTTCTATTTGTTGATGTCGGTGGACAGAGATCTCAAAGACAAAAATGGTATCAATGTTTTGACTGTGTGACCTCTATATTATTTCTTGTATCTTCTTCGGAGTTTGATCAGGTCTTATTAGAAGATAGGTAATGAATAAAACACTGAGGTGTATAAATATAATAAATCAGCTTTGCGAACAGTCTTTGTGTATTTATTTATTTTGTTTGAAATTTTAGGAGGACCAATAGATTAGAAGAATCAAGAAATATCTTTGATACAATAGTGAATAATATGATATTTGGTGGTGTGTCAATAATTTTGTTTCTAAATAAAACTGATCTCTTGGATAGAAAAGTAAGATCGCATGATACCAATGTTCGCTGGTATTTTCCACAATTTACGGGCGATTCACATTCCATGAAGGATGTACAGAATTTTATATTGGAAATGTTTATATCTGTCAAAAAGGATCCAAGGAAACCTTTATTCCATCATTTTACTACTGCTGTCGATACAGAAAATATTAAAGTTGTATTTAATGCAGTAAAGGATACTATTTTGCATCGCAATTTGGAGTCTTTAATGCTCCAATAATGTAAAGTAAGAATGGAGGAAGCAGTTATTAATGGTTAAAAGGTATGTGTACAGTACTAGCATTAATTGTATAATATAGGCCGCCAATTTATAGCATTAAAATTGCTCGCATTGGCAGTTAGAAGAGTTTACATTCTTGCAGGACAATATTCGTTGATATAAGCTACATTATTTATTTCTATATCAGTTACGTAAAATCGAGCACACGTACAACTGATCTATATTAGGGAATGAAAAAAAAAAAAAAAGGAAAAAGAAAAAAAAGAAAAAAGAGAGAAAAAAAAGAAAAAAAAAACAAGTAATGTCTTGTCTAAAAGTATGTCAACTTCTTATGCATTGTATCTATTGATAATTATTTTTATAGTATCTTTAAAAGCCTAAAAAATTTTGTATATAAGGCCTTATGGACATTATATAATTCATCTGGTTTAATTTAGACATTTTTTTTTTTTTTTTTTTTTTTTTTTTTATGAGAATTAATTTCATTTCATTCGGTACATATATTAATATACTCTATAGAAATTTAGCTTGTTGCTATCTCGTGCTGCTAAGTGTGCTGAAGATACTGTCTACACGGACAAATTTGTTTTAGGCATAAAAATAACTTATTTATACTTAAGACTAATTATCTTTGTTAATAATCACTACCTTAAGCGGAGAGTAAACCAAATATTAGCTCCATGCCATATAAACCAAATGAGACTAACCACTTGTGTTCAAACGTTAATATATTAACTGATTTGCTTCCAACTATGGCAAAACATATACTGATTATTTGATTTCTAATTTGGAATTATCAAGATCATATGATTAAAGTGCTTTTGATTTTTATAGAAAGAATTACATTTCATTTTTAATAGTTAATAAAAATTTCATATGGGATGTAATATATGACCAAATTTCGAGATAAGGTACATGTATGCTATATTTAGAGTTGAAAGATGCAAATCGTAAAGGTAAAATCTTATTTTAATTATGATTATAATATATAATCATGCGAAATGTTAATGACAAAATTAAGATTTGCTTATTGATCTTTAATACGTCAAATTTGAAATGTTGCTATTTTTCATATATAAATATTATAATCTTTATATTTGTAGCTTTATAATTATTGCCTATACTAGATGCTTATCTATACTTCAGTTACCATCTATTTTATGAATTAATGAGTGAAATCAAAATAAGCAAATCTAGACTGATAAACAATCGTAACTTCATATTTTACATCCTATTTGTACTCATTGAAAAGTTTTTTGAAGATGATCAGTATTGATAATTTTTTTCTTCTTTTTTTTTCTTTTTTTTTTTCTTTTTTTTTTTCTTTTTTTTTTTTTTTTTTTTTTTTTTTTTTTTTTTTTTTTTTTTTTTTTTTTTTTTTTTTTTTTTTTGAAAACTGTGATTGCGACGGTTGTCTTTGGTTTCTAAACACTCTCGAGTACAAGCTTATACGAATAATATTATCTGAACTGTATTTGATATAATTTAATTGTAATTATATTTATCTGTTAATATACACTTTATATATTATAATAAATACTTCGATCATAAATTTGAGTTATCGAATGCATAACATGATTTTCAAATAAAAATAATAAGAATAATAAAAATATTTAACTGTGCAAAATGAATAATATAAAAGATATGCCAATTATATAATATGTTTTTGAAGATCTTTACAAATCTTTTTCTATAAATAACTTCGATTATCTTTCCTTTCTGTATATTATATTGAAATTTGTATGTTAGGACAAAACAGTTTTTATTATGTGGCTTGAGATTTCTACTTCTCAACTGGTGGAATCTTTGTAAAAGTCTTAATGCCAGTAATAAGTATATACATTTGCATAGATGGAATAATTTCATTTGATACTACAGATTTTATTGCACGCCAAGGATTTTATGTAATGATGCTGATGAAACCAAAGACTGCTATAGTATAAAATGAAAGAGATAAAATTCCATATAACTTGGTTTATATAAGTTTAATTGTAAAGTATAATATTATAAATTTATTTAGGGATGAATATATAATATTGTTATTTCATAAGCGTGTTTTGTACGAAGTATTTTTGGAAATACAATTCAAAGGTGTGAAAGCAGTTATTTCCAATATTTAGTCTGATCGTCTATTACATAAAAGTCTTGGTTCTTCTTATTATTTACATATAATAAGAATTATGAAACAGAAAATAGAAAAATACGCTTTAAATATTTGCTATTATCTATAATCAATGACAGATTGTAATAGCATAATATTTGGTCTAAACAAAATCAATGACCAGAATCTGCACTTGGAATCATATAAAATTTATATATACTTACATCATGCAAAGACAAGATGGAGAGTGTAGTAATTAATAATGTTTTTTACGTAATCATACATTCCTAAAAATTTTATAAAATTCAAGTCATTTAATGCCTTTATAAGATTACTAAATTTACAATGTTTTTTACTTGTAAGTACATTGCAATTGTCTCCAGAGTTAATCTTTCTGAGACAGTACTATTGTACGATTTTATACTGTTTGTACTTTGTATGAATGAATAATGAAACAAACTGTCGATTTATACTTTTTATAAAGGTCATTTGTCATTTTTTATAAAACTATTTTGAAGGGAATTGGAGTCTTGATATATATATATATATATATTAAATATCTATTTATAAACCCAACTATATATAATAATAGTAATATTATAGGAATCTTCCAAGAATTGTATAATTGCGAAAAACAAAATATACGAGTCTTAAGAGATTAAATTTTAATGAAAAACCAAAAAGAAAAAGGAACAAAAAATGTAGCAATAAATTATGTCTTTGTGTGATTGACAAATATTTATCTATTGCCAATTAAAAAATGATTCCAATATCGTTTTAACTTAATAAATAGCAATATTCATTCTATTTTGAATGAACAAAAATACATAAACGAACTATGCTCGTAATGTTGATCATTTCACAAGAGAAAAAAAATAGAACGGATTTTCGTTCTACGGACACATTTATAAGGAATAAGTAATAAAATTTTATAAGCTTGTGCCAAGGAAGAAAATTATTGAAATGTCTTTCATTGGATATTAGCTGTTTTTTTTTGCATTTTCATATCGCCTGGACACAAGAAAAATAAGACAAGTCCAAAATGAAATCTTTTTCGATAGAACAATATAAATACTTCATTAATATTTTATTAAAATCGATTAAATTTTTTTTGTTCGTATATCGATTATATAAAAACTAAATTTTATATATATATATATATATATATATATATATATATATATATACGCGCGTGTATGTGTGTGTGTGTGTGTGTGTGTGTATGTATATATATATTTATATCTCGTATATGATAATTTCGCAATTGTATCATTTTTCTTGCACACAAATGTCCCCTTTAGATTAGTTTGTTAATATAATCAATGTTTTTATTCAATACATATTGAATCTATTTACAGAATTTTCATTTAAATAAATTATGCACTTTACTGATTCCTTAAATAATTGTATAATAAGCATTTGCTTTGAATTATACTGAAAATACGAATTTTTTTCATGAATTTTATAATAATAAATTAAATAATTCACTTATTTTTAACATTGTATATTCTGTTACTTTTTTCATTTACGTATATTTTTAAATGAAACCAAATGGAATTGCATATAATGCCGAATTTTACTCATTTAGAGCAACTATTAGATATGTTTAGAAATGCATAAAACATGAACATACTAAATGAACACTGTTGCTGGAGACATTGTACATGACTGTATAAAAATCATAGGAATTATCATTTTTGAATATATATATATATATATATATATATGCATATGTATATATGTATATGTATATGTATAATAGTTATTTAGATATCGCTTAGTGCAATCGCAATTTTTATATTTTACCCATCCACAAGTTTATTATTTAATAGCAAGTAAAGTGCCCCCATATTTTTAGACTATGAAATAAAATAAAATGTTAGATTTTTTGCATACTTGAAATAGTTCTCTACAACTAAGTAAAATTAAAGGAATTGGATGTTAAAAGTAAAACTTGCGAATGTATTTATAAAATATGCACTAGTATTTTATAATTTTGAATATTTATGTATATATTTTTTTAATTACCTCCAGTTTATATGTATAGAGCAATATTTAAGATATCCAATGAATAGATGCTATATTGCGCTACTGAAAAGTGACTTTTATAGATGGATTAAGGAAAATAGAATTATTTTCTTGTAGAATAACTTCAAAGACCATACAGTTATAAAACTAATATCGATAAGTTTATTATCTTTTCTATGAATAATGTGATATTCTTCTACCTATTATTTAAACTCTTTTGCATATGAAAATTTTATCTTGTTATTTCATTTGCATTCTATTGTACATGGTCTGAAGTACGTAGATACATTGTGCCTTTTGTATACTGTATATTTGTATATAAAATCACTTTACAGAAATCTTTGTAATAATGTAAACTAAATGCATAAATAATAAATATAAGTTTAGAAATTATTTCTGTTATTTCATTGAATCAATCTTATTTTTAAATGTCAAATTAATCTTAGTTAATAATCCAAACATAATATTATTATTTGTAGAATTTTATATTTTAATTAATTGATGATTTATATAAAACAAATTAAAAACTTACATTCATTTAAAAATGATGCATATTTTACATACTTATTACTAGTACTTTTATATATATATAAAAGTATATATATATATACATAAAAGATGTTTGGAAAATTAAATTTATTTATAATAAAATCTTGAAATATATAACAGAAAATTATATAAAAGTCTATGTAATGTCACACTGTATTAAAAGAATTGTTCACAAATTAATGAATCGTTCGCTTATACACAATATTATTGTTATTTTATTCAGATCTAAATTTAATTATAGAGATTTTTCTATATTCGAATAATTATCTAATTTGTTTGCTATTAGTTTATCTATTTATATTCTCTTTTTTATTATATTTTTGCCACAAGATATAATATTATACGTACGAAAATGCAGAAAAGATGACAATTAGATGTATTATGGAAGAAAATTAGCTTGCCTATTAAAATGTGAAATCTTTTTATTTATCAATTCTCTATCGAATTCATTTTGATCCTGTCATATTCTGTTAATGGGTTGATAAAAGACACTTCTTGTCTTTTTTAGGATAGTAAATCCTAATATAAAGTATAAACAATGACTAGACAGGACCTACATATCAAAATTGAACTTTTAATTAAATTTTACATTTACAGTTTGTTAAGATGTTCCGTATTTTGTACAAATACGTGTATGATACATGTAGGCATATTTAACAATAACAAAAATTCAACAAATTCAGAGCGATATGTATTATTAATCGATGTCATATTTCATGGATCACCGATATAATTTTATCATATAAATAATATGTAAACATTTTTATAGTGAGGAAAATAGAAACATAGTTAAATGTGTTACAATTTGAACATAACAAAACATTACAAAATATTTTCATGTAATCGTTTAAAAATCATATAACATAAATTTCGACACGCTATATATCAAGTATTACAATATCGACAAGTAGCACATGTAACGTACGAATATTTTATATAAACATCACATTTGTAATTTAAGCTTAAGCAATAATAATTACATTATTTCATAGTGAAATGTTCCATATATTACAACATTATTTACACATTTTGTTTTCCTCCTACTACAATATAATCAAAGACATATAAAAAGTGAAGATATAATTGCATTATGAGCATAGTTTTAAATATGCGTGGCTATTTTGACTGATGTCAGGAGATATTATGTGTACTTTTATAAATATACATTTAATTCAATTGCGTTTACAAAAATTATATGTAATATATATAAAAATTACAAATATTGTATCTATATTACGTGTTCGTTTAAGAGAAAAACTTTGAATGAATAAATAAATCATCAAACATTGAATTATGAAGTACAATGTTATAACCATTATACTTTTACTACACTATAAATAAACTCAAGTATGGTATGTGATTCAAAAAGGAATGTAATGTAATATGTGTCATGCCAGCCATTCTTTTTTCATATAGTACAAAAATAGCATCTATATGCATAAAAAAAGTCCAATGGTATCTAAATCACTATCTTTGCTTCAGTAATATTACACTCTAGAATATGAATTTTTCTTGTTCAGTCTCATTTGTAGAAAGATAGGACAACAAAACATTTTTCTCATAATCTCAAAATAATCACTGATTAATTCGACGTTTAAATATACCTCTTATAGTATACCAAAATAGAAAACTATAAACATACCACATTACACTTTTATAATCACAAAGTTGACAAATGCATACGAGCCTAATAATGTGGCTAACAAACACGATTCTAGTGTAATTTGTGGAATGTTGTCAAACAAGATAATCATTAGTGAATACAATGAAATATAAATAAAAGGAACAATATATAATTTTGGTTTATAAACATATGCTATGTATCATTAGTTCCAATGTATAATATATCCAATAATAATTGATCCAATTAAATGCAATTTATCCCAGAGGAGAATACAAATGTACGAAATATAATGGTGATCGACGATTAATAAAAAAAAACAAAACAAAAAAAAAAATATATATATATATATATATATATATATATATTCTTTTTTCATAAAAATTTGATAGTAATATCATTATTTGCTGTTACATTGGTATCGAGACATTACAAGGTGCTTAAGTTTCATGATTTTCTTTTTTTTTCCTCTGAAGGTATAGTCTTATTTTTTACTTATTATAAGACTCCATACAATAATTACGCCTACCTCACCATTTTAGGTGTTATAATCGTGCATATCATCTGTATCATCACTGGAATAAACTGCTTCGTGCCTTTAATAATTTTCAAAACTATAATATGCGTCTTATAATATGCATCTCGTACAAAGTTACGTTTTCATGTCTTTAGTACGTAATATATAAAGGCATATGAGGATAAATGTTATTTATGAATGAAAACGTTCATAAGTAAAATTGAAAGTAGCACAGCTGCTACTTTCACTAAATTATTGAATCTTGAATACAGTATGATTCAAATGTTATGTGTTAAACTTATCACATATATTTGATATATTCATATCAAAATTATATCCATGTCATGAATATTCAATATCAGTATAATGAGGCATTTAGAAAACATATATCAAAAATTTATCCGATAAGAAATATGTTTCGTTATTCGTTAGATTTTAACGTCACATTAATTTGTGCATAATTATTTACTAAATCATTGAATATTATATTTATATGATGCTTTCAGCTTAGCGTGGTTTACAAAAAATTATCTCCTAGAAAATGGTAGTATCCTTTAAAAAGTTAGATTAATTAATGGATAAGACTTATTGCATATCTGATCTACATACTGTTTTTAATTAAAGTTCAAGTTCTTCGGCAGTGCGGGAAAGTCTATGGTTATCAATTCGCCTGCGTTGACTACGCCTCACAGCATCTGCTCTACGATATGGTTCTGATCTAAGACCAAGAAGTATATCTTCTAGGGCACCATTATACACTTCATCTTGCTGTAGAAGTTTCTTCTCTTGAACCAATCTTGTTTTATTCTTGAGTTCATTTATGACAGCATCCTAGTGTAATATAAAATAATTTAATTAATAAAAGTCAATTTATAATTACTTTGCAAGTAATCTTCATTATCTTGAAATTATAATTCAGATTCATATATAATACTGTATACCTATAAAATATAATACGATGTCAAAAAAAAGATATTTATTCTGAAACTTTATTTAAGTCAATGAAGTTGTGACATTTCCAAGGGAAGAAAGTAATAGAGAATTTTTCTCAAGCAACATGAATGCAAGCTGTGACATGCTAACGCATCTCTTCAATTTTGTTAATGATAAACATTTAGTATAAGTACATATACATACATACATATATGTATATATATATATATATATATATATATATATATATGTACACATACATACATACACAAACATGTATGTATAAGTATGAAAATATGCTTATAATTGTGAGAAGCAGGCATATAGGTAAGCCATGTAGTATATTTTGGTAAGCCATGAGTAATTCTATTAATATCGAAAGTACGTTATAATATTGAAGTATCTATGATTCTCATAATTGTAAAACAAAGTATTAAAAAAAATATAGATATACATAATATCCATAAATATATATATATATAATACAAACCTACACTTTAATATTTCATATTCAGAATCTGTAGAAATTAAAAATAAATGTTTTAAACTTCATCTTTATATTAATCGTTGCCTATCTTCAACCGTTGCTAAATTATCTTTTACAGCGTTTTATCAGAAGATTGAAATGCTTTCTAGTATGCCTTATAAAATATTTTATTCATGGAAAGATATTATTTCTGAATGGGATGTATTATTCTGTCGATAATATCTATATATATATATATGTTTATATATAAAACAGGAAAATGTAATGTTCCTTGTGCAAATAGATTATATTGTAAATACAAATTTTGTTCACTTTAAAGGAGCAATATATGCGATAATGCAATGTTAAATTCTTAAATGAAAAAATATACAGAATAAAACTCTTACATGGTAAGCATTAATTTAGTTATGCTCACTTTGTAAAAATTTTAGTGTTGCGGATATAATGTCGGTTAAGACTCCTCCTGACTAAAGTCTGAAATTTCTATTTATTCGTTATCATATTTATGAATAAAACTTGTAACGTAATAAAGCAATATAATCAGTACTACGTACATAAATATAAAAAGTATTAAGCAATGAAATGCAAGAATACTTTTTTACTTGTGGTATGTTACATTACTTTTGCCACTTTTTTTTCTTTCTATCTTTTTTGCTTCCTCTTTTTCCTTTCTTTTTTTTTCTCCCCCCTAATTAATTACGTTAGCTCATATTGACAAATACAAACACAGATCCACTGGTAGGTAGTTATTAATAAATATAATTTTGTTTATAGATTTTATTTTCATTAAGTTCCTAATCAAAACTCACTTTTCCAAATCAGAAGGAGTCTTAAGGATAGGCAGTGAGTGAGGATGGACTTACACGTTGTGAATTGTTTCTGTATTGTTATGTTCTGACCTCCTTCTGAGTTCATTAAGATGCCGGTGCAACAGAGTCTTGTTCGAGTTACAGCAAAATTTCGGTGACTTTAAATCCAAATAAATATGTAACAAATAAGTGATCAGATTCTGTAATATATGTAGATTTTGTTTGGAAAGGCGAAAATGTGAAAGGCTACAAGAACACTCATAAAACGATGTCAATTGATAAAGTTATTGATAATTCCCGTAGATATCATGCTAATTCGCAACATGCAAAAAAATTATTAACACTTTTTAAAATTTAAACACTTTTAAATTTGCCTACTAGTATTAAGTTGAATGTTTTTCAATCTTTCCAAACTTTTCATTATAATGTTAAATATCATTTCCTTAATAATAAATTATCAACGACTAAACGGTTAAATTGCAAATTCAAATCACCGCATTTAGATGTTATTTGTGATAGAAAAATGTGAAATAATTGACTGTAAGTAAATTTTCAAAGGAATCTAATTCAATGATATAGCGTAATATTATAAATAAAGCCCCAATTTGATAATATGCTCATACATTGCGAAACTTATACAGAAATGACATAGCACATACCATAGGATATTATTTTCTTCGTAATTAACACTAAACAATACACTAACATATTTCAATATAAAATCCTATGCCAACTTAAATTAGATTTCTCAAGTCTGAGCTTTAATTATAAGGCAATATAAGTGATAAAAAGCATACTTAAAAAACAGTAACACTCTTCATAGATAAAACGACATTCAATAATAGGTCTATTTTTGTTGGAATGAAAAGGAAGTTAAGAATGCATTCCCATTCTTAACATATGTTAAGAATACATTTTTTTTTAAAGTAAATATGTCATGATCATAAAGCGTGCCCTGCAATAAATATATGATTTTGTACTATTCTCTGGATTTGAGCATGCTCAATTCGCGTAGAAGTTGAAGTTAAGTAAAAGATATGTAACTAAAATAAAAGAATAAAAAAGATAGCAACAGCATAAAAACATGTATATCGATCTTAGTAATATTAATTGTGATAACGGCAAACGTTTTTATTTTTTCTTTTTATAACAAATATATTTGTGTTTAGAGAAATATAGCATATTTGTATTAGATAGTATTAGTACAAAGACAATTAAATAAGGAAGCAATAGAAAAAGCAGATTAAATCTGAAAAGAATTGTGTGTGTTTCTAATTTTTATATTAAATATTAGAAATGTTTCAATCAAAACAAGTCTATTTACTAAGCGTACTACCCTTGATGTAAAATGTGCTATTAATAAAAGCATGGATTAATTGTGTGTGTGTGTGTGTATGTGTGTGTGTATGTGTGTGTCAATTTAAAATATCGGTTTAATAATATTATTACAAATTTGATTCTATATATCCTAATAATCATGATTTGTCCAAACTTCTAATCAATAGCACAACGATATTAATATCCTTTTTAAGCCAATTATATCAATAAAAAATGTACAAAAAAGATATGGTATATAACACACCTGCTGTTTCTTCTGGTTCAATTTATTTCGTTTAATTACTTGTTCAGACGTATTTAAAGCTTCCGCAGCAGCAGCTTCTAATCTACGACGTTGCTCATTTTCTTGATCCGCTGCCTGTTAATGATAAACGAGTGTTTGCATTATTGTAATCTTATTTATTATTTACAATAGTTAGCTACTCATATGTTAGATTGAAAATAATACCTTAAAAGATCTTGCGAATCTAACAAGAAGCGAGAAGAAGGTATTCGCATCTGCTTGTCTGGGACTCTCTCCGAAATATTCAACGCATTCTCGAAATGCTTCACCGGCAGCACGTGCGTCTGATTTAAGTCGACGTAATTTCTCTTCGGAATTATTTAAAAAGTCACGTAGAACGGTATTATGTTTTTCTTTACCACGAAGTTCGAATTCTTTTCTTACAAGATCCATACCCTTTTCCAATTCATGAACGTCGGTTATTATATTTTCAAGAGAAACTATAACAAAAATATATCATCAATATTCAAGTAAGACTGCAATTAATTTTACGTATTGATTGTGACGTCCAAGATAATATTAAATGTATTCACCTGTTGCAGCTTTATCAATATACATGAGTTCGGAATCGAAATTAATGAGTTCCGGGAATTTGATTCGTATTGTTGCTACTATATAATGTAAAAGGCACATCCTTTTATCTGTAGACTTTGTGTCTAATAACGTATCTAAACTTTGTAATTTAAATCCGTAAGCAGGTCCACGTTTGCTACTATTTAAATAGTTTCCGAAAGCAAGAATGATTTCTAAAACTGCTCTCAATTTCTTAGAACTTTTCACGGTACTTGATGCAGATATCACAGCATGTATTTGTGGCGTAATAAGGTGTAAATTGTCAAAAAAGTTTCCTATGTAATTCATTATTGAAAGTTTAGTCGATATTCTTTCTACCTTTCCTAATTGCATCAAAAACTTATCCTCTTCGGTTAAGAGATTTATATTCTTCTTTTCGATAATATATTCACGATAAGCTTTTATCTGGAAAAAAAGAAAAAGAAAAAGAAAAAAAAAAAAAAAAAAAAAAAAAAAAATTGTTATTTTCATTAAAAATAATATCAATGTGGAAAATTATAATTTACATACCTCCTGATCGGTTGGCACCATACGCTGTAATAATTCTACATTTTCAAGCGAAAGTACCTTCAAATCAAGAGCATTCACGGCCATTATTACCTTTTCCACTGGCATCTCCATCTTTCTACGTGATATTGCTACAAAAAAGAAAAAAAAAGAAAGAAAAAGAAAAGAAAATACATGTATACGCGTAGAACTTATACGTATATATGTGTGCTTATAAAGTTTTTCATTCGTACCAATATTTCGTAATCTCGTATGTTCCAAAAGAGACACATTTTCAGGCTTCTTAAATCTTTTACTAGGAAAGCTTTGCAGGCCATCCAATTCGCTATTACCATTAGCTACATGACCACTCATACCGATCTTGAATCTCTCTTCAAAATCAGAAAAGTCTATGTAATTATGCAATCGATCGTCATCCAATTCATTGAATATAGTGCCTCGTACTTGATTCGGTTTTAATGCGATCCAATTGAGGGTAGGCAATTTGTACTTTGTTTGTACCTGAGGTGCAAACAAAAAAAAAGAAAAGAAAAGAAACAAAGATAAATCAATTTGTCTGGCAATATAGCAACAATAAGGTTTATGAATTATCAGATCATTTTTCAGAGCCAATTATTATAAACAATTATTAATTTAGAACTTGTATTAAAAAATATCCCCGAGGAATGATCTATCGGGTCAACGTTTTACCTAAAAAGGATCAAACATGTATATACTTTTCTTTTAATTGTCATTGCTCCATCGGGTGCTTGCATCATTCCAGCTGGTGGTGGTGGTATAGGCGCAGGTGGTGGTAACTTGTGATCGCCCGGTGAAAGAGGTGCCATAGGCGGTGGTGGTGGACATGGCGGTGGAGGTGGCGGAGGCGGAGCTGGCGTAGAATTATGAACTTGATCCGACGTTGACAATTGTTCTGTACTTAGTCCAGGTGATATAGTATTCTCTTGACCGAAAATATCAGAATTGTTCAAGGGACTCATAGCGCTTCCATTTCGCATATTGGCTATTAGAAAAAGACAGAAAATTAATTATTAATTATCATTCATTAAAATTAATCGACAATATAATAATTAAACTCGACATATTACCCGACGAACTCTTCGTAAGGGTTCCTGTAAGGGTCTCCAATTCGATTATCTTATTCTCCAAAACGCTTTGCCTACGCGCAGAGTCTTGTTTTTGTCGTTTGAGCGCTGCAAGTTCCTCCTCCGCTATTCTACGCGCTTCCGAAACATCCGTGTATTCTATCTTCAACGCACCTAATTCAGTCTCTAATTCTGCTAATTTCGCTAAAGATTCTCTTTCTAATTCGGTCATTCTGTCGTGTGCCTAAAAAAAAAAAAAAAAAAAAAAAAAAATGTATTATTACTTGAAAATTGTCATGATCATAAAACGATCACGATCATTCTTCCAACTTACATGGCCAAGTTCATCCTCTAATTCAGCTACTTTTTCTAACGCTGCAGTCTTCGTTTCGCTGTCTTCCATTAAAGCAGCGACATCGAATACATTGTCTAAGTAAGCCGAGATTTGAACCTACAATTATCAAATATTATGTATTTTTTTCTTCTGACCAAAAGAGAAAAAAAGATGAAATGTTGAGTAATGTCTGTTAAAAATGAATGGGAAATTAAATAAAAATACGAACTTGCAAATCTTCGCTTTCCGTATGTCTAAGTTTCTCTAAATATTCATCGAGGCCTAATTTTGTAAATTCATATTGCAAGTGTACTCGAAAATTCATATCTTCCACAGAATGAACGACGATATTCACGAACTGCATGCAGGCGACCATGAATTCTATATGGAAACTATCATATTGCGTAAAATAAGTCATGAGCGTAGTAAATCTTCGCCTTTCCATGCACACTTCTTTGAAATTATCGAACGCCGATAAAATAATTTCATGTCCGCCTTTTACTAAACAAATCGCCGCAAGAAGTTCCAAAACTAAAGCTTTCGTCCTGAAAGTAAGGAAAGGGGAAAAAAAAAGGAGAGAAAAAAAAAAAAAAAAAAAAGAAAAAAGAAAGAAAAAATGTTAATAATTAAAGATCTAAAATAAAAGAACACTTCAATTTTACGTATAAAGTAAATGATGTTACATATCAATGATTTGAATAATTTAAAATTTACCTTAAACTTTTGTGCATTAAACTAAGCGCAATGCAATTAATTGCTTCTCTGTGTTGTATAACCATATTGAAACCGTACTGAAAATATCAGATATAAATGATAAATATTTGGACGTTTCAGTTCCAATTAAATCTGCATATAATACCTTATTATTCATAATGGCACGCATGCAAAGTATGCAAACATGGATATCGTCCTTTGCTTCGCCCATATTCAAACGAGCCACATGTCTGGATCTGCGTTTTACACTGGGACTGTCTTTAAGTTCGTGAAGAGATGGTCTTAAACATCCATTATTCAAGTGCGAAGAACCGCCTGTTTCGACTAGTAAATTAGAAATGAAAAATTATGTTATAAAATTTTTAATATAATAAACATTGTTATTTTATATATATTTTTTTTTATTATCTTTTTTATCTTTCGTTCGGATATATGAAATAACTTACTCGTCTGTAATTTTTCTTCGGAACTAGCGTGAGATTCCAAAAGACGTTGTTCGTGTCGCATCATGAGTAATCTGAAGCTAAGGTAATCTATCAGAGCATCCAGTCCTTGATTCTCCTCGTCCAGGAATTCTCTTACCCATCTAAAACATTCCTACGATCATAATACAAATCCAAAAAGACGACGAGATAATGCATACGGATCCATTTACTTGAAACATACAATTCTATTGATCCGTTTTCATGCTTTTTACGGCGATTAGAAAGAAGAAAGAAACAGACAAAAAAAGAAGAAAAAATCTTTTTTTCAATAACATTTCTTTTATATTAACGATCTAACAAATTATTTTATATCTTTTTTAATATCTTAAAATTTGTTAATAGTCACCTATAAATAGATAGTCTTCTCGTCATCTCTATTATAGAATGTAATTTATACACACACACACATATCTTTAGATACCAAGTGCATGTGTGTGCATATATCTTCAGATAGGAAGTATATACATATGTGTGTGTGTGTGTATATGAACATTTCATGACGATAATCTGAGATAGATGAATTATGTAAAAGCGCCGACCGTAATTATCGCTCGAAAAATAAAACTAGTTTATTAAAAAAATAAAACATTTATGTTCTCTTACTCTATATGATTTGTGCGCAAGGAGATTTCCAAATCCCGAAGTACTTGGGTCGATGTAGACTCCCCAACCATTTTTCTTTTCTGGAAGAATGTGAGGAAACGATACGACTGTGGTAGTCATTAGTATCCGTCTGATAAAAGTAGCTTTTTTCTGGTATAAATATGAACTTGAACGGAACAAAAACGTGCGTTCTTCTTGAAATAAAGAAAAATCTTCAAACATCCACCACGTTTTTGGACGTAAAATAATAGAAATTATTTGTTAATCGTTTTTATATAAATCAATTAAATTAACAAACAAAGTATTTATATACGTAAGATAAAAATTTTTAATAAAAATATATAATTAAAGGCGAAAAGAAAGAAAAAATGTTGAAACAAACATACTCGATGGCTTCGTGACGCTTTTGGATCCAAGTATGTACGTAATTTTGCCAAGTAATGCGACGGGGGATCTTTCGCTTGCACCCTTTCCTGTAATCGTTAACAATTTCCATATTATTTTACGAGTATTAATCATACATCAGTGTGCGCAATTGAGGAGCATGCAAAAAGGAAAAGAAAATCAAGTTACAAAAGTCGCCTTTATGTTTTTCTTAAGAGCCTACTTTATATTGCTGTTGTCAAGATAAGAATAAGGAAAGAATTACGTCAACAAATTTGTATTCTAAGAAGGAACGTTAAAGTTGATGCTTTTACAACGCGCAAAAGCGGTCTATAAAAATAGACCTGAATGGAAGCATACCACCTGTTGCGAGTTTCATACTCTCTCATACTCTCTCTCTCTCTCTCTCTCTCTCTCCTCTTTCACGGCTATTTTTGTTACGCGTCTTTTACAACCGATTGTTAATTTTGATTCATTTATTTTGGATGCATTAAGCGTACTCGCCTGATCGCATATGATATCCCATTTTTTTTCGTTATCGTACTGTTTCAAAAGTTTCGCCTTATCCGGTGGTAGATCCATAGACGCCTGAAATAAACGATTAAATCATTCAAAATTCATCATGATTATGATCGCATGAAATGTATAATACATATAATTTATTTTACATTATAAACTTTTATAAAATATTATAATATTAATTATATAATGAATTATATAAAAATTAATTACAAGTTATATATATATATATATATATATATCGGATCATAACATAAATAAGTTCGATTATATTCATTTAAAATTGTACTTGCAACCTAACTTATCTTTTTGCTTTTTTAACTAAGACTTATCGTTATCGCTGTTTTCCTAAAGCATTATAGTTTACCGAAAAGAAAAAAAAACAAAAGAAAAAAAAAAGAAAAAGAAAAAGGAAAAATAAACGAAACAACATTCGGAAATGATGTGGCGAAGGACGTGAACGATAATACATTCCCGTTATCAGAAGTATAAATTTTAATGGGTGACTTTCGATTTCAGCTCGTCGTACAGGCTGAAAGAAACGCAAGGGTGAGCTGCTGAATCGTTGGTAGGATCCGGCGAAAGACAAAAAGTGAAGACGAGAAAAAGGGAAAAATCAAGGAAGAGCGGAACGACGGGGAAGATCAAGGTCTTTTAACTGTAAAGAGATTGCGTCATTCATGTGGTGCACAGTGCAAGTAGCCAGTAAACTGAGGATCACACGTGACGTCAGTGCCATTAATGTACAACGTTCAACGTTCGAGCAATGAGATAAAGGATTTCAAACAAATGTTTATATACCACATATATATATATATATATATATATATATATATATATGTATGTAAGATACATTTTTCTTAGATTTTTATCCTAATTTAATATTTCAAATAGCACCTTTCGAAGTAAACTTAATAACAAGAAAATATGAAATGTATTCAAGTTTACTAAATCGAAATCCAATGGAATCGAAGGATTATTCATTTGTTTATCACATTCGCAATGATTACTTGATCGAGCAACGAATGGATTAAGTATCGCAAGTGGAATCTATAAATAGAATCAAAGAATGCTTTCATGCAAGGCTTTCATCCCAGGACTCCTACAGAAACTAACCTATATAGCAGAAAATGATCGATAGAAAAAAATAAATAAAAAACTAAATAAAAAAAAGAAAAATAAAAAACTTATATTTGCACAAAAATATACCATTAATTATTTTACTTATTACATATACATATATATATAGATATATATATATATATATATATATATACAAATGGATCAACAAATATAAATAACCTTTCATTTTTTCTCTCATCATTTCGCAACAAATATTTACGAGTTATGTATCAATATAACAATTGACAAATTGTCCTATTGATGAATACTGAGTAACTTTTATACATCTTTTTATAAGATTCTATTTAACAAAATTGTAAATATCAGTAAATTTTGTAAACAGCAACAAACATAAAATTCACATTTTAATGTTGTTGTTATAGAAGGAAAGAAGACATAATAAGGTATAGGACACGCATGTGAGAAGCGTGGGAGGGAGAGAAGGAAAGTTGGGTGGGAGAGATGGAAGGGAGGGAGAGAGTAAAGGAAAGAGAAGGGAAGAGAAGAGAAGGGAAGGGAAGGAAAGAGAGGGAGAGAGGGACAGAAATAAAGTATTTAGAATCCTACGTCACGCCATCGACCAAAGGAAAAAAAAAAAAAAAAGAAAGAAAGAAAAAAGCAGATGATCGTGGCGAAGGGTGAGACACTCGCTGCTAACCAAAAGATTACTCACCAAGACTTTGGTAAAGCGCCTTTCAAGTTCTACGGCATCCGGCATCGGTTGTCTTGGTGCACCACGGACGCTACCACTTTTCGCATGTAATCCGGCCAAAGCTCCGATACCATGACTCGTTGGTTGATAAGAATGCTGAGAGGATCCGTCTTTGATAGCCCCATGAAATACTTCCCGTACACCGGCGTCGCTCTCGTTGATACGACTTTGCACGCTACCCATTGTTTCGGCTTTTTGTATATGTCACATTCGAAGAAACAAATATACATACATGTGTATATATCTATATTTTATATATATTATATATATATATAATATATATACACACACATGCAGGGGCACACACATATATACGTATGTATCAATCAAGAAGACGGGCGCGCAACTCGGCGGTAGCGGACGATCGTACAAAGACGTATCGTAAATAAACACGATTCAGGAACAATGTGCACACTCTCACTCTCTCTCTCTCCCTCCCCTTGTCAACACGAAGAACGGTGGTCAGTAACAATAACAGCGACGGCGACGACGACGACGACGTTCGCGATACTTCCTCATTCTCGATCGCTTCCAATTATTAAGCTCTCTCTAGGATGAGTAATGACGAGAAATTATCGATTGTAATCGGTTATCGTAAACTCGCGCAACAGGTATCGAGCAATCCATCGTGAACACAATTCCCATGAACTCAGAAACTCGCGTGAGACGAATCACTCTGCATTCAACACCAGGTACTTGCGTCCACGACATCTGCGATAGCCTCGTCAGTGGGAAGACGGACACTCCCGTCTTAAAATCTTTGATATAACGACATTAGTGCCATCTTCTTCGATATTCTTCCTTTAATCGAACTAAACTTCGATTATTATCGATACTCGCGATACTTCGATTAAGGGAGGCAAATTTAAAAATGTTTGCACGATTTCTTTTGAAAAAGGGTTTTGTTTTCAATGATTATCCAGTAAATAGGAAAACACGAAATAAATCTTTAATAATTAGAAAGAAAACACGATACAAAAGAAAAGATAACACGTCACACTTATCGAAAATATTGCACTCATATATATAACTGTCGTTCAAATTCTTGACGATTAATTTAACACTCCAAGGATTACAATAAAAATAGGAAATCTTTGACAAAACAATTAAATAATAAACTCAGTAAAATATTGATACATAAGCGCATTGAAGTTAAATTATGTATTTACAAATATTAGTGACCTACGATTTACGCTTTCGACAACAGTTGAATTAAAAACAATGTTTTACATCGAAACGCAGAATAAATTGCACTTTTTAAACGAATACAAATTCTTATTCAATTAAGTGCACTTTGAAAGGAATACAAATAACATTCTTAGATACGCGATACAATGTATTTAAATCTAAGTTTATTATGCAACGCTTTATCTTTTATCATTGGCACATGGATTGGAGTGTGATTTTTCTGATATTCCATTTCAACTTTTTAAATAAAAAGGAAAATTAATTACAAGTATGAATTACGATCTAACAAAATTAGCAAATTTATTAAAGGTCTCATGCATCTAAAATAACATATCATTCAAAATAAAAACAATGATAAATTATTCATTTTCACAATAGGTACTGACAATTCTCCTAACAATGTGCTAATTATGCATCTACAGGAAAAACATTTATGAAAGTTAAACAAGTATCTAAATATCATATCAACTGTATAAAGATGTGCAACAATTGATATACCCATCATAAGTTACACGATCACAAAATCGACGTTCACACTACACGGTACGTGAGAGAGAAAAAGTATGGAAGATAGCAGTATTTTTTGGGCAATATTTCATTCCAAACAAAGACTAACGACACAACAGATGATTGATCAAAACAAAAAGCGAGATGAGAATATAATTCTATAAAGTAGAATTGTCAATGATTTCAAACGTACTTCCAGAATAATTCATAAATCTACTATCGTAAGCATACCATGAATCATTAATAAACTCTACTTTGTAGAATTATAATCTTATTTCACTTATTGTTATCATTTATTTTTGATTGATGGTAACAATCATCAATGGTTAATCGTTAATTCTATTGACAATTGAAATAACTAACTTGATCATACTTGATATATGATTAATATTATTCTAAATAATATTATATTGAATTCAATTTGAATGAAATATTATCCAATGATGGAAGATCGAAAGAGTGTTATGTGGATGTTTACATTCTTCAATAAAGCCATTTTACACGACACATATCACTCGATAATCTTCAACTACCTTAATGAACTGGAAATTGGAAAATGATCAAGAATCAGCTTCAATGACGATGTCTAAGACTATATACGAAGTTTAAATAGTGTTTTCAGAACGTTGGTAAGTGATTCTTTATACAAAAAAAAAAAAAAAAAAAAAAAAAAAAGAAAAAAAACATGTCTCATTGATACTATCAAAAAATGCTTAAGTGCTATTATTAAAAGCGCAAGTAGGCAGTGCAGTGTTAGAACAAAATTTCTGTCACTCTAAATCATGTCAAATAAATTATTTTTAAACATAATATGTAACAAAGTACGATGATCAATTTTCTCTTATCATTGCAATCTGCATAGAGTACTTCTCTGTCTCACACATAAGCCATACATATATATATATATATATATATATATATATATATATATATATATATATATATATATATGCCAAGCATATAATAATACTAACACGACAGCACTTCAAATGAATCTTTGTGACTTTTTTATCATTGTGTCTAGATAAATAAGCTTCCTTAAACGTGATAAAAATTTTAGACTAGGCTTCCAGCTGCAATAAAAGAAATTCATGAGTGCTGCAATTATCAAGATGATAATCGCTTTATTTAAACGATATGATATGCACCCACAACATACTTTAACATTATCACAGCATTTCTGTTTATCAAAGTTTTCTTCAATACACATGTAAACATATTTTTTATATTTAAAAACAAAATGAGAAATAATAAGTCAAATATTAAAAACATGCTTTTGAGTATAAGACTAAATCTATATGTGTATAAGAATGCATCTTAATGCATCTAAAAAATAATTTCTAGATGCGATCTTCAACATGAAAAGATTGTATGTTATTTTGAATATCACCAATGAATGTTATTAAATGTATAGCAAGTTAGCAATGAATTTTAGAACTTTAATTTGACGTAGTACGACGTAGATTAAAATTGCAAAACAATGATACATATAATTATAATGTAACTTAATAGAAATTTAATGTGTTAGACATGTGTTGGAAAAAAATTGATCTCTTTGCTATTTGCAATTCCATCTATAATAAGTTCAGAACGCCCATACAAAGGGAATAATGAAATTCTTTTCTTCATGGTATAAAGGTGCAAAAAATCGCAGAAATACGATTATCTTCAGAATTTCTAGATATATGTAAGTCACCTTGAGGGCAATTATGTGATTATGCTAAAGCTTTTACTATTATAATAAACAATGATTTTCGTCGATTAGGAAGCACCATCCATCTATCCATTCATCCATCCATCCACCCACCCATCCATCCATTCATCCATCCATCCATCCATCCATTCATCCTTCCATCCATCCATCCATCCATCCATCCATTCATTCATTCATTCATCCTTCCATCCTTCCTTCCATCCATCCATCCATCCATCCATCCATCCATCCATCCATCCATCCATCCATCCATCCATCCATCCATCCATCCATCCATCCATCCATCCATCCATCCATCCATCCATTCATCCTTCCATCCATCCATCCATCCATCCATTCATTCATTCATTCATCCTTCCATCCTTCCTTCCATCCATCCATCCATCCATCCATCCATCCATCCATCCATCCATCCATCCATCCATCCATCCATCCATCCATCCATCCATCCATCCATCCATCCATCCATCCATCCATCCATCCATCCATCCATCCATCCATCCATCCATCCATCCATCCATCCGTCCGTCTCTTAGGCCGATGGCTGAGCAGTTAATTTTTGAAGAGCAGTCATTAGCAGATGTTTTACTTTTTCTTTTAATTATCAAGGTCCAATGAGCCTGCTCTGATAATAACATCAAATCAATAATATGCAGCTTATACATAGATATTTCTTTTACAAAGGCTTTGTCCTACGTTTCCTTTATGCGCTGATTTTTAGTATTTAAACTTATTTATAATTTGAAAATCGCAGTTCACACCACATTATTGATATGGGGTAAAATTCTCACTGATTAGACAGACGTACGTAGAATATATTCAATTTTCTAGCTTGTACTCTACCAGACATTAAACGTACTAGCAACCGAATTTTTTCACCAATAACGTTGACTGATCTCGGCGAATCGACCTTAGCCATTATCGACTATTAAAATGAATCTGAAACAATGTCTAAACTGACCCTTCACATCGATTCCTCGTCATATTCCTAATAATCCATTCTCTATTGTTTTGTTGATATACTGGCTCAAATTAAATGATCAGTCTTTCACTCTTTTGATCACACACTTTATGAGAAATTTATAATCCTACATTTCACACCATGGAAATATAGCACTTTAGCGAGTATTGAGATATTGTTTATAAATTTAAACAAATTGGCAAGAGATTTCATGTATGTACTCAACACGTAACATGCACAAAATGAGCACAAATATATACAAATTCGAATGCCAGTACATGGAAAAACAAGCTTTCCACCAAAGTGTATATTACAAATTGGGAACATTTGTATATACAATTTCACAGTAGACAAATATTTCACTAGATTATAACTAAATGTTAATTCAGGGGAGCTGAAGCTACCTACATCGACAACTCCCACATTCAATATCAAATGACTTACAGCTTTTATCTTGGATTCAATGAAATGACAATTATACAGACTATGCTGCAATCTATGAAGGCCAAGAAATTGAACCTAGCCAACAGAAAAATATCTGTCGGCTAGACATAATAAGCTGTGGTGTATTTGGATGAACTTACGAATTTTCTTAATCTCCCGTTTTCATTGTTAACAGTCAGTAATATTATTGGTATTATAGCAACGCTTAATGCAATCGATGCTTATTGGTTGCACTTAAAACTCATGTAATTTGAGAACTCCCGTCTTCTCGATTTAATCCTCTTTTATTATCATGCGAGAGGGTGAGGGGGAGGGGGTCTGGATTATCATAAAGAAGGCCCTGAGAATGAGACAGCCTCTACTAATTGTAACTGTCTATTTCAGTGCTAGCATACTATTTATTTGCATTACTATGCATACTAAGTCATTGTATGATCAAGTCCTCAATACTGCGCATTAAACAATCGTATCTTTCCAATCAGAGTTAAATTCCAAGAATCTCATAGACAATCACTCTTGTTAAGTAATGTAGGATGTTGGAGTGGAAATAGACGAAACACGATATCCTTTCCACGATAGAGATGCATGCCACAGTCACAACTGACTTTGGGAATCATAGTATATGTATTAATGCTCCATATGTCTATTGTGAATGCAAAACTTCAATTGGGATGTTCACATGAATACACATTTCAAGCTCAATTATTGTCCCATTACAAATGATGTCTTTCATCAACACTATGGCAAGTCCAAAATTATTAAAAGTCTGTTATCTAGTAATGTTACTCTTCCTCTTTAACAAAATTAATAATTTATGATTTGTCATTTTCAACTTTGATCACTTTCAGACTAAGTGACACAATAGTATGTATGGTTCTAAGATATAAAACCATCACACTTTATCATGAATGAATAGAAGATAATGCCATCAACATGCATGCACGCACGCACGCGCGCCCGCGCACACGCACACACACACGCACGCGCACGCACGCGCACACGCACACACACACGCACACACACGCGCGCGCGCGCGCGTATATATATGTGTATATATATATATATATATATATCTTCTATTAAATCTTAGATTAGAAAGTGATAATCCACAATTCACAATCCACAATCCAAATTCCATCAACTACGTGGATGTGGTATGTTCTTCTTATCAGAACTGAATTCAAGTCATGTATAGAGTAAAGAATTTTTCTTAGATGAAGCTATCGATCTTGTATGATTTAGTCTTATAAGTGCGAATGTTTTTCTTAGTCAAGTTTGATTAGTCTGAGCTCTTCAACACAAAGTTGATCGCAAGACTTGATGTGACCTAAGTTAACAAACTATCAGTAGTTGTAATAACAATTGAAGCAATTGTAATAATCAATACTGTTCTACTTTCAGACTTACGGGGCTATTGATGTTTTAGCCATCTACTTATTTAATTGAGCACTTCTTAGCTGTCAACAATGTCGGTGAGAAAGTTGACAAGAATGAAAAAGATGAAACGGAGAGATCCACGATGGGCACCTCCGTTATCAGGGAAGAGATCATCCGTGGGCAATATCAGAAGACGCATGTGCAGTCTTCCGAAGCCCTGGCCTACCTAGCCCTTTTTCTGTTTAGCTTGGCCAATTTACGTCGTTTTAATATCAATTGGTAGAGAGTATCCAGGCCTTCATGTAAACCTTCACCTGTAATAGCACAAGCAGGTTGCACCCTTATACTAGAACTGCCAGGCATTCCAGCCAGTTCCAAGACACCAAGCTGCTTTTCCAATTCACTCACTTCTTTAGCACCTAAAGATTAAATAAAATGATCATTATCCAATTATATATCAAAGTAATAAAAGTTTAACCTAACGAAGTTTACCCAATAGATCTTGCTTATTTGCAAGAATTAAAATGGGCACGCCAGCATTATCGGGACTCCTAGCTGTTTTTGTAAGTTCCATTTTTGCTTCTTCAAGTCTTTCCGCATCGCAAGAATCAACAACAAAAATAATACCATCCGTGCATCTTGTATAAGACTTCCATAGAGGTCGTAATTTTTCCTGTCCACCTACGTCCCAAACTAAAAAATTTACTCCTAGGAAAGAATAAATATTGGAACGTTAGGTGAAAATCAAAGATCTGATTAATGATCCTATTGGTTGACATTTAATATATACCTTTTGCTTTACCAATGCCGCCACGGATTCTTTCACAGTTGAAACCAATGGTCGGTACAGTATTCAAATATTGATCAAATTTTAATCTATAGAGGGCAGTTGTTTTTCCTGCACTGTCAAGACCTAACATAGCTACATGAAGCGGCGTTCCTGTGGGAAGAGCCTCGAGCAGACCACCTCCACTGGTGCTGCTCCTGCCCAACCCAGCACCCATTCCTTCCTACCCACCTTTTCCAGATTTTTTATCTCTTTCTTCTTCTCCTTTTTATAATTGTGCTTCTTACCCTCTTATACTTTCATCTATATGCAGCTATTACTTGCACTTTTAAATTGCGCCTTACTTTTTTTCTTTATTCTTTAATACGTTGACAATACGTTATTAGATCTTTTCTTTGCTACTCTTGCCGTAGTTCTTATCTTATCGAAGAGAAGCCTGTTTCTAGGCCAGCTATTATTGTGCCACCTGAAATAAAAAAAAAAAAAAACAAAAAAAAAAGAAACAAAAAAAAAAAAACAAAAAAAAAAACAAAAAAAAATAAATAAATAAATAAAAAATAATAATAATAATAATACAGTTATTGCAATATTTGTAACTCTAAAAGAAACTTTAATTTTAAATAATTATAAATAAAGAATAGTTAATATAATAGTGCACTTACATCTTTTGTTGTGTTTATGGTTTACTTTTGTATAATTTATCTTGTTGAACCCTTTACAAATCCCTCTTCCTTCAATCTTTTGATTAACCTCTTCTTTCTTACTACTTTTTTCTCTGCATAATACAATATAAATGCTCCTAATATTTTCATATACGTTAATGTTTTTAAATAATAATAATATAATAAATATTAGCGATAATCGAATTTCTAAGCGTTTCTCAGAGTTGGCGTGACGTTACTAGCTTGAAAAGAAAGGGATAAGGAAAGGAAAAAAAAAATAAACAAACACAATAATCGAGCGTCTGGGAAACGCTAATTGTTCAACGCTTATTAATTTCTGCGTTCGTAATCAATTGTTCATCTAATGTGAAAGCAATCGTTTTATATATTTCTACAAGTTTCTCTCGTTACGTAATTCGAGGAATATTTCTTTTTTTTTTATATACTCACCACCTCATTTGTGGATGGAACTTATCCAAATCTACATAACACTTGGGAGGCCGTCATCCTGAAAGGTCGCACAGTAACACATCACATCGACTTTGACATACTTCTCATCGAACTTGAAAGACCGGTCGTGTAATCATCGAAAAAGCACCTTAAATATGTTAACTTGTCGTGTTATTAGTCAATTTCATCTGTATATATATATATATATATATGCGTGTATGTGTATATACATATTATACATACATATATGTATATATATATATATATATATATGTATGTATATTCTTTATCAATAAATGATTACTTGTCACTGATATACGAAGAGACAACAAAACAATCGAGAACCGGTAAACGTCGATACGTCCGCAAAAACTCGCACATCCAATGACTATATTACTGATAGATCGACAAGTAGCATGATCTATCTGACGAAAAAATGTTTAAACGAAGCCGTACGGCGGCAGCACTAACTAATGCATGAAACAAATTTGATAGCCAATAGAAATATCTGATTTCTCTATTTGTAAACTGTTCTTAATAATAGAAAATAATGCTTTTCGAAAATCATACGATGCACTCGTTCTTGCATCGTCCTACAGTGAATCCATATAATACGGCATAAATAAAATACGGTTCGTTTTTTCTTTCTTGGTATGGTCGATATTACAGTGCATTATATACCGACATGTTCTTTAATTTACGCAGTTATTCACATTAATATACGTTGGTCTACGTTCGCTGACATTGTATTCATTGAGGCGTTAATCTGACACTAGATCGAGATTTGGTGAAATTATAGATTGTTGTATAAAAATTTTGAATATTCAATCAATTTTGATATCGTATATTTTATTTAAGCTGCCGTTTATTCTATAGATACAAATAATGCCACGCGGTAAGTGAATCATCGTTCCTTATTCATTTATATGAATATCTTGCCACGTTTTTCTAGAGAAAAATAACGCGCAATTTTGTTCATCTCGATCTTGAAATATGCTTTTGTTTATTTATATTTTTGGTTTCTCTTTTAGGAAAATTTGTCAATCACAAAGGCCGTAATCGCCACTTTACGAATCCCGAAGAATTAGAAGAACAACGTCGCCAGGAGGAAGAAAAACGTCAGTGGAGAGTCAGTATTTTTAGGTTAACCACCAGCTCAACGACTTAGATATTATTGTTAAGTACGTAAGGTCGAATTGCCCTTCGATGGTCAAATGTGACACGGGCAGATAGTTGCAACAGAGCGTTTATGCAATTGCATTGTGCCTCGTTATATTTTCTTTCTTATAACTTTAATTATTGACGTAGGTTAAAAGTATTTTTAACTCAATTGGTATATACAGTTACTCACGAAAATTGAGCGTGCACGCGCTATGAAGGATTCAATCAACGGAAAGCAAATAATTTTTTTTCACGAATAAAGTTTTTTTTTTTTTTATGTATAATATATAATTTTAACAATACATTCATTTTATTTTATTAACAAAAATAAAGAAATGCAATGGATTTTATCGTTACAAAATTGAACGTACATGTAACATATTTACATATAATTAATAATTCTAGCTAATATTTTGTTGCGTATCCGTTTGCACTTATACAATTACTTCTAAACTCGAGTTATTCGACTAATTTTTCAATAATGAAACTATTTGGGACAATATTATTCCAGGAATGTGGATTGTAATTTGTATATATTTTTGTTAATTCTAAACATATTTATTGGCTTTAGAAATGTAAAGTCTTTTGTATTATCCAACCTAGTTGTAGTTTTTATCTCATAAAAGTCTGCAAAATATTTTTATTGATATAATTTTCTTAATTCTTAAGACAGCGTCTATAATTAATATTATAACAGTAATTCAAGGGTTTACCTTAATATGTTCAACTAAATTCTGCTTTTTCATCTCTGTCAATATTTTTTTTCTTTTTCACGTTATAATAGCTCCTACTTATTATTTTTCTAATTTATTTCATCTAAGGATTTATCCTAACAATACAGTGTTGTAACTAATTTTCGTATAGAAATATCGGTCTGTTCTTTTTGCAGTCTGTCCTAATAAACAATGACAAATGGCAATCGAAAGTGACGTAACAACGGAAGAAAAAAGAAAGAAAGAAAGAAGATAAAAAAATTTGAAATATTAACATCGTAAATGAGTATTTACAAACATAATTTTTAATTAATTCTCTTTCCTTGTACGTTCAATTTTGTGACGATAAAATGTACTCCGTTTTTTTATTTTTGTTAATAAAATTGGGGGAATGTATTATTTGTGTTTTTAAACGGTTAATTATTCATTAAAACTCTACATACAACACATGCAAAAAACTTTATCCACGAAAATATTGTTTGTTTTCTGCTAATCGAACAAATCAAACTTTTATAGCGCTTGTGCGTGCAATTTTGTGAGTAATTGTACATTATAATTATCCATCTACATATATATATACACTCACACGCACACAGATAAATTATACGATATATCGTTTCTTATATGAATCCAAGTTACTTAAAATAATATTTTTGTTTTCTATCAATAAAAGTACAGACGTTTTAAAATATTATAGATATAAATTATATCGTAATAAGAATCGTTAGTGTAATAATTTTATTTATATATTTAAGCAATATAATATTAACTATATAATACTTAATATTTTGGGCATTTGGTCATCTAGAAATTATATAACACCCCCATGTTAATACAGTATGAACGAAGCACACTGCAACCATCTTTTATATAACTTGAAGAATAATGCAATGTATACAATAAAATATACATTTGCACATAAATGTATACTGAAAATCCTACAAATCGCTGATTGATGGAAAATAGTATAATCAATTCAAAGGATATAAAATGTTTTATGTAGAAACTGGCAATTGTTTTTTTTTTTTTTTATTTTTCACAGAAAAATAAAGGTAATGAGTCATCTAGTGACGAAGAAGTGGAACCTAAAGCACGTGGAAGTAGGAACAAATTGAAAAATGTAAGTGCATCTGAAACAGATAGTGAAACTGAATCGGATTCCGAGTCGGAAACAGAGGTAATTAAAACTTGTTTATAAATTTTATTTTTATTAATGCAAATGTGCACTTTACAAAATATTTTTATGAATTTGTTTTATATCTTTAGGGTAAGGCAAAAGGAGTTGAGAATTTAATTCAGGTGGAGAACCCAAACAGAGTACAAAAGAAAGCAAAAAAGTTATCACAACTCAATCAATCATTAGATTCTGCAAAGCCTGAATTATCGCGGAAAGAAAAGTAAACAGCTTTGCAATTTTTGCTTGAGTATTCCTATTTTTCTTGTTTAGACTTTAATGTATAATTGGTTTAGAGTGAAAAAGATTTAGAAAACAATTAAAATAATATTTATTATTATTTATTTATTTATTTATTTATTCCTTTTTTTTTTTTTTTTTTTTTTCAATTTCAGAGAACAATTAGAAAGGCAGAGGGCCTATGCAAATTATCAGAAATTGCATGCTGCAGGAAAAACTGATGAAGCTCGAGCAGACTTAGCACGATTAGCAATAATTAAGCAGCAACGAGAAGAGGCTGCAAAACGAAGAGAAGATGAGAAGAAACAAAAAGAATTAGCACAACAAAAGAAAACTGAATTGACACAAAAGGCACTGGGTAAAAGAACCTAGATTATTAAAATCATTCAAATTAAGTTACGTTACTATCTACATGTTATATTGTGCTAATTTCCTATACAATTGAAATCCTACTTTCATATTATTGAAAATGGACTAAATGAATTTAAATAAATATGTACTCTGAGTATTTGATGAGTATGTCCTAAATTGTATAAAATACAGTTATTATAATAATATTTGAAATTAATTGTTGTCTTTTTATAAACGTAATACTTTCTCATTTACGATATATACTACAGGTACATACATATGTATTCAGCAGAAGAATATTATGCGATATCATCTTGATTATGTTATTTTCTCTGGAAAAAAGAAAAGAATCCAATATGTCAAATCTTTTATATTTTTAAATTTATTGTTTTTCTTTTTTTTTTTTTTTGTCTCTTTTCTTTTTTTTTAACCATCACAAATGTAACAATATCATATAAAACGTACTTTCGGATACAAAAAAAAAATTTAAGTATTAGTTGTAAAGAACCTATGGATTCAAAAAATACAATTTTCTTTCTTTTTATTTGAGAAGTTTGACAAGTAGAAGTTAATTAGATTAAATGTTCAATTGAATGAAATAAAATTATTAGAAAGAAATGTAAAATGGCATTTAAGTGGGCAGAAGGAGAGACTATAAAATTATTAATTCTGTATGGACAATATGATTGTTTAAAATATCCGTTTGATGATAATTTTGAAAAAAAGGTGTACAGATATAAAGCATATAAACATATAGTGGATGCCATGAATATACCTTCCTTAACAATATATGATTGCATTACAAGAATAGAGGATCTAAAAAAGCAATATTGTTATGAATTATCAAAAATTGCTGTTGCTATATTATGTGGGAAATTGTATGAATCCCAAACCAAATACTTTAAATTAATGCATGATCTATTCTTCCCATATGTTATCTTTGACCAAAAAGTAAATATTACATAAAATTAATGCCTTTCTTCCCTATGCATATAGACACATATTGTAAAAATAATCCGCACATAAATAATCCGATTTAGATAATCATCGGTTATAATAAAGGAACAAATTTAAAAATATAATGTTTTTTTGTAGGAAGATAAAATTACAAAAGGTATGGTTAAAGATGTTTGTACAGAAATAGATTTAATAGAAGAAAGAAAAGATGATGAATTCGATATGTTTGCAAAAAGTATAGCTTATCAGTTACGAAATATTACTTTAAGTAAGTAAAATTAAGGTAAGGGTAAATGACACCTAATAGGACTAATCTTACTGTTTTTTTTTCTTTTTTTCTTTTTTCTTTTTTCTTTTTTTTTTTTTTTCTTTTTTTATAGAAAGTGCTATTGAATTAGAAAAGAAAATACAAGATTTGGTAACAGAAGAACGTCTAAGTAATATTAAATGTTCCCTTTCTAGTGACAATGTAATTTGCTGCTGTAGTTGTAGTAATTGTGTAGAAATTCGTCAAAAGAATGGTTTTGAATCATAAGTAATCACCAGTAATCAAGTATTCAAAACCAAACAAAAATAAGACTTATCTCTGTGAAAGATACATTTGTTATAAATAAATAGAAAAATATAAACTTTTAAAAATACTTTTAATTAGTTTAAAATGTTTTTATCAAAAATGGTTTTCTTATAACTTCTTCTACTTCTTGTTGATGCAATTTGCCATCACCAACAGCCGGTGCTGCCATAGGAGGACGTCCACAGTATTTTAACTGAAAATGTAATAAATATTACTTATTTACTATATGCATTCACATTGTACGTAACTTACTTGTCGACCACATAAATTTTCAAAACGTGTTTTCACAAAATTCCATGCTCCCATATTTCGAGGTTCTTCTTGACTCCATATAAAAACTATTAAAAAATTTAATGTAGTATAATTCAAGATAATAAAATAACTTGATGTTAGTTTATGGAATATTAATAATGATAATAGGATAGTTTAATTCAAGGGATTCCAATATTTATTTTACTTACCTTTTGCATGATTATATTTTTGTATTTCTTCCATTATTTCTTGAACAGGAAACGGACAAAGACATTCTAATCTAATAATTGCAACGTTATTCTCTCCAATAGTCTTCTTATAATCTTTAAGAGCATAATAATGTTTACCACTGGTTAATACTACTTTATTTATTTTAGAAATATCTTCATCATCATTCCCTGAAATATATATTTTTATAATAATATATATTAGACACAGACATGAATTATCTTATTATATTTTAGACATATTTTACAATATACTAGTATATATTTCATACCTATAACAGACTTGAAACTTGTGCCAGGCTTCATATCTGTCAATGATGATGTAGCGTTCGCATGTCGCAATAATATTTTAGGTGATATTACAATTAATGGTTTTCGAAAATTTCTTATCATCTAAAATATATAATTTTGGATTTAACTTATAATTGGTTATACAAATACGCGATGTGAGGAAATAACTTTATAATCTGTTTATTTTTAAGGCCATACCTGCCTTCTCAATAAATGAAAATATTGTGCTGGTGTAGTCGGATTAACTACTTGTATATTAACATCTTCGCCATCAACTTTATCTTCATTGCTATTTGTAAGCTGTAAGAATCGTTCAATTCTACATGAACTATGTTCCGCTCCAGCACCATCATAACCATGAGGCAAAAGCATTGTCAACCCACTACTGAGCATCCACTTTGCTTCACCACTTGTTACAAAGGTATCAATAATAATTTGTGCCCCATTAAAAAAATCTCCAAATTGTGCCTCCCAAATAGTTAAAGTTGTTGGGACTGTTATGCTAATACCGTATTCATATCCCAGTACCGCTTCCTCTGATAAAATACTATTAGCTAATTCTAATTTTCCTATTTGTTCATCTGCCATAGAGTTTAATGGAATGTAAATGTCTAGAAGATAAATTAGATATAGTACTTTATTTTCTATGCGTAATGTAATATCATGAAAGAGAAAATTTAATATTACTCACTTCCAGTATTCTGATCGGCAAACATAGCATGCCTATGGGAAAATGTACCTCTACCTATATCTTGTCCACTTATTCTAACATTGTAACCTTGATGAAGTAAGGATCCTATAGCCAATGCTTCCGCAGTGGCCCAATCTAACTTTTCACCAGACATTAGTTTTTTCAATCGGCCTTGAATATGAGTCTTCAGCAACTGACGGTGAATATTCTGGAATAAGAAAATAATAAAATTATTCCTTAAAAATAATTTTTAATAAACTATATATATAAATATATTTTATTGGTATATATACTCACCAAATTTGTTTCTACATGGACACTTCTTTCCCCAATAAATCTTAGTAAATCTATATCAATACCTGTATCCCACTGAGTTATATTGGGTTCAGCTTGTTTCATTCCGGTCCATCTGCCTGAGAAGTATGATGCTTCTGGAACATAACTTTCAACTTGTTTAAGAGCTTCAGACAACCATTTATTATGTTCCTTCACAATATTTTCTTTTTTAGCCTTTGTCAGGATATTGGACTTGATTAATTTTTCTACATATCGATCCGGTACAGATCTAAGTAATTAAAAAAATTCATATTTTATTTTCATCAATTTGATGATAATGCTATAGTTAAACATTATACTTACGAACGATTTTGTATAATTTTATATATCCTTGGATTTGTGAAAGTTGGATCATCCAATTCGTTATGACCCCATCTCCTGAAGCAATTTATATCTATAAAAACATCTTTCTTAAATTTCCTCTGATATTTAAAAGCTATTCTTGTAGCTCGTACAACCATCTGTAAAATCATTATTTTTCTTTTAGCAAGTAGTAATTGGTACGTAAAACATTTCACGTACAAACACATTCGAATGATGATGTATTTACTTCTGGTTCATCTCCGTTTACATGAATTATAGGAGCTGCAATCATTTTTCCCAAATCTGTGCAATATCTAGACGATCTACCTCTAGAAGGTGGAGTTGTAAATCCTAATTGATTATTAATTATTAGATGGATTGTGCCTCCTATCTCAAAGTGTGGTACGTTACTTAATGCTAAACATTCTTGATCAATTCCTTGTCCTATATAAGCAGCATCGCCATGAATCTTTAAAAAATGTTAGAAGGCTTACACACACACACACACACACACGCACGCACCCACACACGCGCATATATATATATATATATATATATATATAATATTCAAAGTGAAATATGTAATAATTACCTGTAAGTTCAATACTTTATCACTCCACCATGTGGTGCGATCATTGCCATATGCACCATCCTTGACAATCTGCATGATTCCACGAGTTTTTCCCATGGAAACTGGATTAACAGCTTCTAGATGAGATGGATTACGGAGCATTGTAACATGTAAACTTTTATTATCAATTTCTAGATTTGTGGAAGACACCAAATGACTTGCAACATCACCAATAGCCTTTGCATCATCTGGAAATTCTGAGGATCCTTTAAGTTTACGAAATAATTTTTCTGGTGGAAAATTAAGTATTCCTGTTAAAAAATTTAAACGTCCACGATGTGGCATGCAGATAACGATATCGGTCAAGCCAGCTGTAAAGTAATAAAAAAAAGACTCTTCTTTTTGACTTCTTTCATTCAAATAATACCTTTATCTATATCCATACATACTATTTAAAGACATTTTAAAAAATTCGTGGAAAAAAGCCATCATGCTTTCTGCTCCTTCTCCACTATATCTTTTTAAGCTTACAAATTTCGCAGCTAGAAAATTATCGAACGCTTGACTTTTCAACATTTCTGTCACAATAGCAACACGCGTTTTATCATCCAATGATTCTGTTAAACATATTTCTGTGGTGTTAGCAAACCATTCCCTTTCTTCCTCAGTCTATTAGAATAATAATAATAATAATAATAATGAATTATGTTCAAATGGGCATAATTATTAAAATATTAAAAGTTGAGATATACTTACCTCAAGATGATTAAATTCCACACCAATATGGGAACAATAGACATCATTCAAAAACTTTAGTGCTTCTGAAAGAGTTCCTTCTTTTTGTTTTATCTTTAAAATTCCTTTGAAAGATACCTTGTCTGTTAGATTTAATCCAAATTGTTTAGGTTGCAATTCTGGAAGTATCATTTGTTTGCTCAATGATATAGGATTTATATCGGCTTGTTTGTGAGCAAACTGTCTATATGCCATAACAAGTCTATAGAAATTGCTATTTTTATATCGTATCTCTAAGTCTTCTTTTGACACTGAAAATTAATGTATCTAAAAATTTTAATCGTGGCATTCGAAAAAAGATATTGAATAGATTAATTTAAATACCTTCAAAATGTTTTTCTTGTTCTTTTGGTCTGTATCCATAAACGCCATTTTCACTGTGATACAATTGAATGACATTATTACGTTCAAAACGAATACATTTTATTTGTAAAATATTCCTATTATATTGTGTATTCCTTACTTTCAAATGGAATTTTAAATTGACACATGATCTTAGTGCCATTATCGTTAAAAAAAGGAAGAAAGAAAAAATAAAAGATTGAAATCGAGAAGTAGGCCTCCTCCTCAAAGTAAGTTTCTTGCAACTGTCTGCTATTGGCTATCAATTAAAAACGACCTTACATGTGATAAGTTTTATCTGTTTATTCGAAACATCCGTATCAAAATATTGTCTTGGAGCTAATCGTTACATAGATTGCTTATTTGAAAGGAAAGAAAACTTCATCAGCGAGGGAAATGACCCAAGAAAAGTTGGATATCATAAGAGATAAAAGAATAATATTTTACAAGAGTTTATCATGTTATTTATTATATCTTATTACATTCGTTACTTATTATATAATCGCCATATCTATACTTATTTATCTCTTTAAATTATATCATAAGTAACGTCGTAATATAGAATTGTTTATAAGTAATACTTCTCAGTATCTTATTTTAATATATAAAAAAAAAAAAAAAAAAAAAAAAAAGAAAAAAAGAAAAGAAAAAAAAAAAAAACGTTCTGTACAAATATTAGGATTAAATCGACATTAAAATAAATATAATATTGTGATATTTTTATACAAAATAAAATTCAAAAATATAGTTACCTATACTATTATTTAACCGAGAAAATCATAATTAGATACATCATCGAATTGTTGATTTTGTGTATTATTAGGTGCCATAGGACGTGTTGTCATTTGTCCTCTTGGACTGACCATTTGTTGTTGTATTCCAAGTATTTGTTGTCTGTACTGAGGTTGTTGCTACGACGCAAAAAGTATATACAGATAACAGATCTGATAGATGATGAATTATCATGTTTAAATTTCATACCTGTTGTAACAAATGCCGCAAGCCAAGACTGTTCGTTGAGACAGGACGCATCATTCTTTGAGCATTAGATGCTTGATTTGCCATGGCAGCAGGAGCAATACCGCGTTGTGCCTGTTGAGCCTAATGACAAAATTAATATCAACTTAATAATTCAAATTAATAAAAAAAAATTTTAATCAATGAATCTTATTTATATTATTATTAATAACATACTTCGAGTTGCTGTTTATATTGCATTTCCTGTTGTTGCGCTACTTCTAAATTTTGTTGTATCTGTGACACCGGTGATGAGACAAACATTACTTTCTTTATGATTATTAACAAAACAAAATGTACATCTAAATGACATAATATTTTTCTAGTGCTTACATTAACTTCCAGTTGTGATTTGTATTGTGCTTCTTGCTGTTGTGCAGCCTCTAGCGTTTGACGTAACTGTTGGATTTTTAATAAATTCTGATGCCTTGCTATCTCCAAATCATCGAAAGGTGGTCTTTGCTGACCAATAATACCTCCTGCATTACCACTGACTTGTGATGCAGCTATTCCTCCGCTCTATTAGTATATAATTTATACAATATAATTTATTGATTCGAATATTTTATTATTATTTTAATTTATATAACGACATAACGATTATTATTGCGATTTTCAGTATACCTGTAAAGTTAACTGATTTTGTTGAGCTGTAGGAGTTTGCAAAGTCTGCTGAGGTGTATTCGCAGAAACGACATTTTGTGTTATCTGTCCTCCACCCATTGTCATGGTGTTTGTTTGAGACATTAAAATTCCTCCTTGTGATATTCCTGTGTTAGGTATGGTACCAGGTAAAGCATTTCCAGCAGCAGTACCAGTCTATTTAATCAAGTCAATTACAATAACTAATAACGAATGATATTATACTTGCAAGCTTTATTTTTATTTCGTATACTTACTTGACCTTGTCTCATTGGACCTTGGGAAGTTTTTTGTTGTTGTATCACTTTACGGAGACGATCTACGAAAGCTGTTTGATCATTAGGAATGAAGCCCAAATATGTTCGTTTTTCTGCCGTATAGAGAAGTATAAGCACTTTTATTTCACATGCTGAACTAGGTGGTACAGATGTAAAATGGACACAGCCTGCCTGAAAATAGAATATGTAGGTACAAATATATAAATCGTTTTCTTCTTCTTTTCTTTTTTTTTTTTTTTTTTGAAGACGAAATGAACATAATGATGTAAGAAATAATTTTTACAAATCCAGAAGTCATCATATTTGTTAATGATTCTAAAGCTTCGCATGGTGTTGGATGAAAAAGAACAGATTTGGAATTCTTTAAATAGGATCCACCAATATTTCCTATTAATTGCTTTGGCATCAGTTGCATTATTAACTTTTGCGGCCATGTATCTGCTTTCCTAATGATTCCATCAAAAAATAATTATTCCACATAGATATATGATTGTTCATAACTATGGATGAAGAAATCTTACAATTCTGGATCTCCATCTTTTGAATTGGCAGAAACTTGACAAGGAACATGCCTCGTTTGCTTCTGTGCATCGGCAGGATTTTTAGTTTTTTCAATCCATTCCACAACACCTTGCCAAATAGTATGTCGTTCTCTTGCAGTTGCGATCTGTTGATTTGAAACATTTCCACCACCTCCATTAGTCTGCAATGCAGATAGCAGAAGAGATACAGAAGAACAAAGTTCTTAACATAGATATATATATAAAGAAAAAAGAATAAAAAGAGGGGAAAGGAATCATTAAGAGAAAATTCATTGGAAAGATGCACTTCTATAATAAAAATATTTATCATGAAGTACCTGTGCTTGAGGATGAGTAGCTAGTGGAGTTACAGAACATACTGGAACTGGGGCTTGAGATGCAGTTACTGTCGGTGGAACTTGAGTAGGCACAGATGGACTTACACACGATGCTGTGAGTTGTGGTGTTGCTTGACTGTGCGCCGGCTGATTTGAAATTGACAAGGACGCTTGTTGTTGCTGCTGTTGCTGTTGTTGCAGTTGCATGGTCAATCGTAATTGTTGCTGCTGTTGTTGGTTTATCTGCTGTTGCTGTTGCTGAGCATTTGCTGCCATGATATTACTGTTAACTACTGAAATGTGAATGTACAACGTATATATATATACATATATATATATATATATATATATATATATATATATATATATATATATATATATATGTAGACACGTACTATTTTATCATACATATAAATATTAATTCGCAGTAACATATTACCATCCATTCTTTGACCATACGGAGATACATTAAGCCCTAATGATGAGGGTGGTTGTGTTAATTGAGCAATTAAGGCGCTACTCTGTGCATTGGTGGGAGCATTAGCACTCGGTGGTATGAATGGTCTCATCCACCTCGAATGCGTAGCTCTTGCACCCACAGCTCCTGGATGATAATTCGGCGGGGCAGATATTTGAGGATTATAGGGCGGACGTGTAGCACTCATAGGGGCAGCCATATTTTGTGGGACCGACTGATGAACCGAAGAAATATTTTGAGGTGTTTGATTTCTGAACGTAGTAGCCTGTGATTGTGGCGTTGGTGCAATACTTTGTTGAACTTGGTTTGGATTTGGACTATCATTGCTTTGTAATGGACTGAGAGGAATTTGTGCTGTATTTGGTACCGCAGTATGGACTGTCCCTCCAATTGATGGACTCACAGGTCTTTCTTTTAAATTATAATTACGTAAAAGTACTAGATGTCGTGGATCCTTAGCATAATTCTTTGTTTGAGATGATTGCAGATCACCTCCTGCCTTTTCAAATAGTTTAAATAACGCTGGTATTTTTCGTGGAGACAATACGGATAAATTGATGTTTCTCTAAAAATAAAAATATTATTAAGTAGTATGATGCACAAGTAAATATTGAAGGAGAATTATTTAAAAAATGAGAGACCTCTTGGAAAAGGGCAGCTACTTGTTCTACGGTATGACCGGCAAATTTATAAGATTCTTGAATCACTGTTTGATATGGAGGTGAATTGCAGATTAAAATACAATGTTTCTGTGTTGCACTACTTGGTTCTCGTCTTAACAATAAATCTTCAAAGCATTGCAATGCGGTAGCAAGACCTTCTCCAATGTTTGCATGTGATTCTCCTTTTCCACCGACCATTCTGATGATTATAACGTTTTAAGTAAATAAATTAGGATTGTATGTGTGTGCGCGCGCGCGTCAAAACAATTATATTAAAATAATAAATATAGAATTTGACATACTCAAGTTTATCCAGAACAAGTAGTAATTTATGAGGATTCACATAAGGCCCAAGAGTTTCTGTACAAGATGCCGGCAAACAATCGGCAGCATGATATAATACTATCCCATAAAGTGTAGTACTATTCTGTTATGCCAAGAAGAAAAATATTTCAGATACAAATATTATCATATAAATTGTTTATATAAAACAAAATGGATATTATGAATGGATTTATGAATTCAAATACCTCTGCGACATATTCTCTATCTTCTATGCCACCTTGACTAAAATACCTATGGATAGAAATAAAATCGATTTAATGAATTATATAAATATAATAGAAAGTCTATATGTATTTTCAATCTTTCAATAAAAATGCCTTATGTGATTTATAAAATAAGCAATGCGATATTTCAATGTCTTTCTCCCTCGTACATGGCAACGTATAAGAACGTAAAGATAGCGTAGTGTTGGCGAATATTGATGCGCGAGTAACTCTGTATTTTTTAATTACAATAACATTACTTACTCTAATGTGGGTATTAAATAATTTGTTTTGAGATCATTCAGATATGCTCCATTTACAGCTGTTTCTTCAATAACAAATATAACATCGGCTTGTATGCCATGCTCAGTAGGTCCAGCAACCATGTTTTTCAATTAAATAATCTATTGCTTCAAAAGTGGATTCAAAAGGAGCGTAAAAAATGAATTAGAATACTTTAGAAATATCTGTAAAGAATATAATATAAAAATTAAATTTAACCAACTCCAACTCAAACTCCAACTCTTAAATCTCAATATAATAATAATGAAATTTTATATCAATGCTATATGATCTTTTATTTATTTTTGATTTTTATTTTTTATCACTTCATCCTTATTTTATCGTGTATAACAAAATAAATATAATCTTTATGTTGAAATTTACCCGTAAAACGCCATGACAAAGAAATATCTAACCTTCTTTCTAAATTTGCATTTCCATTTGAATTTTCAGGATGTTCCTCGCTATTGCAGCGCCCCGTAGTGACCATATCATGAAAGCAAAATGGATTTGACGGTTTTACCAAACATAAGTAAAATTTATCAATGACTAAATAAACGTACGTAGTAGAATGAGGGATAGACATTTAAGTAAAATTTTGTCTAGTTTTTAACAACGATTTTATTGTTAAGTAAAATCTTTAATTACATAAAAATAATATTTTATTATACATTTTAATATATATTTTATAATCATAATTATCAAGGGAGAAAATATTAATAAATATATGTACAGTGGTACGTGTACGACCTAACCAAATTTGCAGGATTATATTAGAATAATATTTGAAATAATAAAGAACTATTAATTTTTCCACTTGACCGAAGGAATACGCAAAGCGCTTGTAGCATAAAAATATTCTTCCGATTGTGGCTGAAGTTTCCTTTTATATTCCAGCAATGCCGTTTGATCTCCTTGCATCACAAAAATCTGAAACCATATTTGTTCGTAAGTAATAAGGTTTCCTTTGCAAAATATATTATTATATTTTACATACATCTATGGCAATTCTGTAACAATTGAAAGATTTGGCTAGTTCTAAACGTTTGTCAATATTGTCTACATATTTTAAATATTGTTCAAGAATATCAAGCGGTGCCTGTGCTCTGTGGAATAATTTAACAATATCCTCTATGGGCAGAGATGTTTGTAATTTTTTATTTCCAAGCCAGCCCTATTATTAGAGAAACAAAATTAATCTAGTGAATTTTATGTGAATATTATTTAAGTAATAAATACGCGAGGTCATTCATGCATTAGAATATTATTACTTTTGTCAAAAGTAGACGATCAATAGTTTCCCATTCGCCGAGCGATGCTTTAACCTCAATTACTATTTTTTGGTATTGCTTAGGCGATATATCATGTTGTTGAGAAAACATGACAGCTGACTGCGAGGAATGTTTATCGTTTTTACATATATAACGTAAAAAATCAAGAACCGACCAATTTCCCTCTATTTTTTCACTATTCTCTGCATTTCTTAATGCCACATGCCACTCTATGAATGAGTCTTAATTAATATTTAATTAATATATAATATTAATTATCATAAATAATTTCATATATATTTTTCACACGTACTTACCTAACAATTGAATATAAGAATGAAGAAACTGTGTTTCTTTACAATCAACTAAATTTAAGAATTGTGTCTTGTAGCAGTTACGAAGTTTTTGCAGTAATTTATCACAATCTTGAGTATTCTTTAGAATAATGTGCAGATTTATCATCTGCAATTGAAGAAGCTTGTATCGAGTAAAAACTATTAAAATTTTAAATAGATTATACTTACTGCAGAATTTACTAATTGACCTAGCATTCTAAAATCAATATCAAAATTATTATTGAAATATAAGAAAGTAATTGGCATTGGTATACTTACGATAAAATGTCTGTAATTTCATTTGTTTGTAATTTAGTAGAGAGATAATGTATATACACATTCACTACTTCTGGTCTTTCAGCTAATAGACGGTAAACTAAAGATTTCTTCAAAGTTTTTATAAGAAACAGAACTATCTAGAAAGCAAATATATCAAATGTTTCACAATTGATATGATTAATAATCGATTGATATGATTGATAAATGGTTTAAAGAAATTGCGCGTGTATGCGTATAATTACTATTAATATGGCATTCCCATTTCCACTTTTTACAGCTGAATCTAATAATGCTGTCTTGCTAGCCAATGATTTGTACTGTTCCAATGAATAAGATTGTCCCATTAATATCCTTCTAAGAGTAACATCTGGTTGTGTTTGAACGTCGTCATTGGGTCGTTGATCTATATTTTGGATTTTATCTAAAGCTAAAACTAAGATATAAATGTGATATTTGGATTTCATATATTCATCCCCATCATTATATATATATATATATATATATATATATATATATATATATATATATATATATATATATATATATATTATAGTTTAACGTTTGTTAAAGATATTATAATTTTTAACATACTGCAATGAAGTGTTTTTTCAGAAATGACAGAAAGTAGAGGTTTCAAATTTTCTAAATCATTATTAGATTTGATATAATTTTTAGATGTTGAGAGGAAGGAAACATCAGTACCCAAAATCTCTGATTTAATATCTGAAGCTTCGAACGGTTGATCTACCTGTTGTTAAATTAATGCAATAACAACAATAATAATAAAAGTATTAATAATAATAGTATAGAAATATTACAGAAAGAGACATGGAATATATTTGTTAACCTCGTTACTCTCGAAGCAGAAAAAATTTTTTTCGATGTCGTCCCAATAATTTTCCTCGTCTTTTGTAATGCTCATATTGACAGGAAATAAATTCAATTCGTTCGATACAATTACAATCAGGAAATCTTTTTATACAAGTGTAGTTAACAATAAAGAGCATTGTGAAGAATAGGTCGTTCGTAATTAATTGTCAACATCCTGTTTGAATGGAAACGTAAGAACAATTAAGTTTTTTTTTAAGTAACAATTAATGTGTCAATATTTATTATTGAAAAGTTTTCGTCATGAATTATAAATATCATTCAGACGAAGTACTCTGTTTTTCTAAATTTGTTCGATCATTTTCATGTCATGTTCTATATTACCAACAATTTTGTAACTTAAAATTGACGGTACAAGAAATTTGACTGAAATAGTATTTATTCGATGTAACACCATTAGTCAATTAAAGAATTCCATATTCCTTCATTACCCATTACAATGGGTAATATCTATTATAAAACTTTGATAATATAAATAATCTTTTACGAGCATCATTTTCATAGATTTAAATCTTAGCTCAGCTTACAAAGCGACGTAATGGACGGTGGTGTGCGATTCTCGTTTCAACCAATGGGATGGCTCGTCTTAGAGAAAGATTTTCACCAGCAACTAGTTCCTCGATATAATTAACACGATACATAAGTAAAAAGAGACGCAATTTATAGCAAAGCTCTGTTTATTATCATCAATGAAGCTTTTTATATTTATCTTCAAAATATAACTTTATATGATCGTGCCTAATTCTAACCCCATATTATAAATCTCTATAAGCAACGCCATCTGCAGAGCGAAGGGAAGGAAACCAATATGGTTGACATATAACCATTAAATAGGTGCTTTGTGTATTTACATTCTTTCTTTAAGCAAGTTCGATTATTTCGTTTATAAAACTATTACGAATGTTGAAAATATTTTAATGACTAAATGATTAAATGATTGAACAGCCATGGCAACTACGGAGATAATATTTCCTAATGAAGAACAACCAGCAAAATTGTTGAAATGGAGAATTTGCACGAATACTACGGTCTCAGCCGGTAGAGTATTGTTTTTTTATCGGAACGTAACGCCGGAGAATGAAGAAAGTAGCAGTCCTGAAAAGAAATTTCGAGCCATACGATATGGCCGCATTACAAAATTATTGTTCAAGGAAGGTGACATCATAAAACCTGGGTATATTTTCCTTAACCTCTATATTATTACGATAGTTTCCATGAACGCACTTCAAATGTTTACATATTTTTATATATTCTTATTGTACTTATCTGTTTCTTTTATATATATATATATATACTTATGTTCTCCGCATAAACTTATTATGCTTATAATTGTTCAGTACCTGGATAATTTGTTAGTGTTTTAGGGAAGTGATATTGATACTGGAAGGATGCAAACATCCTACCGTCATGAAGGATTTGTGTGCAGAATGTGGTGTAGATTTAAGAATAGAGGGAAATGGAAAAGATGGAGGAAATATGATTTCTCAAGCTGTTGTACCAATGATACACAGTGTACCTGAACTTAAAGTATGTCCAGAATTAGCAGAAAAAATTGGAAAGGAAGATGTACAGAGACTTTTACGAGATCGTAAATTGGCTTTACTTGTCGATTTGGATCAAACAATTGTTCATACAACCAATGATAATGTGCCTCCTAACATGAAGGTTATTAATAATTTTTTATACGATATAGTAACGAGATATAGTAACGTTATAGAAATTATTTGAATATTTTTAGGATGTTTATCATTATCAACTTTATGGTTCAAATTCTCCGTGGTATCATACACGTTTAAGACCAAACACTCGACATTTTTTGTTAGAGATGAGTCGTCTATATGAATTACATATTTGTACATTTGGAGCAAGGAATTATGCGCATACAGTAGCTTCTTTGTTAGACAAAGATGGTACCTTGTTCTCTCATAGAATACTTTCAAGAGATGAATGTTTCGATCCGGCATCTAAAACTGCCAATCTAAAGTACGGTTATATACTGATACGTCTTTAATTAATCCTTGTATGTTTAATTTTTTTTTCTTTTTTTTCCTTTTCTTTCTTTCTTTTTTCTTTTTTTTTCTTTTTTCTTTTTTTTTCTTTTCTTTTTTTTTTTTTTTGCATGAATTTAATTAACAGGAAACGTTATTCATAATAGGGCTCTATTTCCTTGCGGAGATGACATGGTGTGTATTATAGATGACAGGGAGGATGTATGGCAGGGGTGTGGCAATTTGGTACAAGTTAAACCTTATCACTTTTTTCCTCATACCGGTGACATACATGCTCCACCTGGACTAGAAAAAAATGATCCTGCAACGCCCATATCGATTTCTGCGAAAGAGGCACGAAATAAAAATAATAATAATGGCATATTAAATTCAACCGATAAAGATTTATTAAATAATGACGCTAAAGACACGGAAAGTGTCATAAAGGAACATGAAAGTGTAGTTACTATATGCGAGGAGTCGAAATGTCTTAATGACGATACAGAAGGTACAAGAGACAAAGAGAAAAATATTGATATGACACGGTCAAATGATGCGGAGAAGCAATCGGATAATGATATTGAACGAGTTAAAGAATTAGATAATAAAACTTCAAATTCAAAGGAAGATAGAGGACAAGAGAAGGATGGGAAACGTAATGAAAGTAAATTTATAGACGAGGATGAAGATGATTATTTATTGTATTTGGAAGATATTCTTCGAAAAATACATGCAGAGTTTTACAACAACGTAGAAAAGGAAATTGGTCAAAAGTCGTTAAGAGTTATTATACCTCGTGTAAGAGCTCAAGTATTAAAAGGTATTTGCTTGACTTTCAGTGGATTAATACCTACTCATCAAAAGCTTAATCAAAGTCGTGCTTATAAAGTAGCAAGGGCATTTGGAGCAGAAGTGACACAAGTAAGACCTTTATTTATTAATATATTATTATTATTATTATTATTATTATTATCATCGTCGCATAGATTTTGTGCACGTGCATCATAATTGACTAAAATCCATTAGGATTTGACGGAAAATACTACACATTTAGTTGCTATTAGACCAGGAACTGCAAAAGTAAATGCGGCCAAGAAGCGAGGCGATATAAAAATCGTAAATCCAGATTGGCTCTGGGCATGTGCAGAACGTTGGGAATACGTTGATGAACGTCTTTTTCCTCTCACCACAAAGGTACATGTCATTTTATTACAAAGGATAATATGTATAATCCATCGGTTAATAATAATTATTTCGCTCGACAAGTTATTTTTCATCAGACATAATGAGACAATATAAGAAATATTTCTTAGGCACGTGCCTCTAGGATACCACCTGCTCATTGTAGCAGTCCAGAACATATAGAGGAACAGAAGGACGAATTAAAAGATAAATTTGCAGATAGTATAAATCCTTTGATGTCCTTTACTCAAGAAGAAATAGAAATAATGGATAAAGAAGTAGAAGAAGACATGGAAGATCAAGATTTAGAGGTTTCCCTTTTTGATATAGATGATATAGATAATATTGAAGGTTACAGCAAAAGGACACATGGAAGTAATTACAATTCAGAGGAATCATCAAACGGTAATATTTCTTTTTTATATTCTTATCGATAAATTAATGATTAACATTTCTGATTACAGATGAGGAATGCAAATCGTTTAAAAAAAAGAGAAGAATATACAATAGTTCCGATGACATCGACGACGACGACGACGACGACGACGACGACGACGACGACGACGACGACGACGACGACGACGACGACGACGACGACGACGACGATGACAACGAGGACGACAACGAGGATGAGGATAACGACGACGACGACGACGACGACGACGACGACGACGACGACGATGACGACGATGACAACGACAACAACGACGACAATGATCTTACAACGCGTTTTAGAAGAGGGGAAGACTTACCAGATGATCTAGACCTTGATGATAATTCCCAAGATTCTGTAGATCTTGAACCAATTGAAAATGAAGATGATAGAGAATGGAATGCTATGGGAGCTGCACTTTTGGAAAAATTTCTTTCAGAATAATATGTTATAAAATAATTCAGCAATTTAATTTACTATATTATGCAGTAATTAAAGCACTTTTATATTTCAACGATTTATTAATTGGAATTTGTTGAAAACGATGAAAGGGTTATGTAGTTATTATATATGATTATAAAATTTATATGATAAAAAACTTTTCCTGTGACATTTTTTAATTTGGGAAGAGAACAATTATACTTGGCATTGCATGCAACTTTATGAAGGGACGATAAAAATAATATCATATAATGAGGAATACTTTTTTTAAACAAAATCCACAAAGTATAAAATAATTAACAAATAAATTATTATTAGAATTTATTTATATTTTAAAATACATAAATACATTATACTCCGTATGGTTCTTCAATATTTGGATCTTCGTGGTATTTGACGTATGTTTCTTGATACGTAAAATCTCGTCTATCTTTCGTGATTCCTCTTGGAGGTGCTCTATCATAATCAAAAGCATTTTTGGATTCACCAAATAATTGATTGGCCTCCTTTATATCATTCCTGATTTAAAGTACAATTACATTTAAATGAAAATATATTAATATTGATATTAGTATAGTTTATATATATATATATACATGTATGTAGACAATGTGCATATTCAATTGAAATGATACTCGCCTATACTTGCCGACAACAACTTTTTTACCAGTTATAGGATCTGTAATATCACCCAATGGATAAATAACATCTATAACCTGCATAGAAACGTTATAATTATGAGAATGAAATTATTTAAAAATACAAAAATCAAATACTTATTAATATTATTATAATTGATAGATGTATACTTTGTGGGTAATGAGGCGCGTTAATTTTTCAGGCAATAACTGTATCAAAACGATATCTCCTACGTTACATTTCTTGTCTGGATCATGGGCATAGATGAAGTCATGCTCTTTGAAGTACTACACAGCGAAAATAAAAAAATAATTTTTTTCTTTTTTGAAAGAAGTACCTTCAATATATTTCATTTAAAGTTAAAATAGTATCATACCATATAAATACGCTGATCCAGCTCAAAACGCGGTACACATACTTTTACAGCATTTTGCTTTATAGATGGCAAACACTTTCCAAGAAAATATCGTAATACTTGTTTACCTGATCCTGCCATCGTCCCTTCTTATTTCACAATAAATAATAAGTAATATAATAAAAAGCAAATAAAAGCATAACCTCTTTGATATACAGAACAATGATATAATATACGCAGAGTTTAACTGACCAATGGTAGCCTTTAAATCGGGAACGACGAGATTGGCGCGAAACATTCAAATTGTTATTGTAAATATCGACATCGAATTAATAAAATTGAATATATTAAATATTTTTTATTAAAACAAAATAAGGAACGTATCTGTTAAAAATATATTCTTCGTGGAATCATAAGAATGCGTTGTTGTTCAGAAAAATTAAACGATATAATTAAATATGAATTGAATCGATACGTTTATTCAGAACGATTATATACTCTCGATCGAACTTATATTACGTGCAAATAAAACGTCAAATGTTTGTTCGACAGATTGAAATCGACCGTTAACGTACTCTGATATTAATAACAGACGTTTAGAATCTTTCCGTGTCTTTATCATTTTCTAGAAAAGTTAATATCTTTTAAGTAGTAGTGATAAGATAAAGATTGCAATTAATTTTTAAATGGATACGATTGAATGAATATTTGTTTTCTAATGTCATTTTGCGATCGTAAAATATGAATGCCAAATGAATGTTAAAAAGAATGCATTTCTTCGAAAGGCGCAACATAGTATATGTTATGTATTTACTAGCTTGGCAACTATCGGTACATATAAAGTGTATTATCAGTGACACAGATTTACAATAGTTATTTGTATCTAAATGACATCAAATTCGATTTCGTTATTTGATTATACGTTTGTTCCATTTATCTACCAATGCAGAGGAAGTATTTATGATTGTACCTATTTATGATCTACTGTACGGACTTTTCTTATAGGCGTCTAATAATGCCTATTTACGGTTACATTTTTTATGTAAATCAGTACCTTTTTGCCACCACAAAATGATTTCATACTTGGTAATGGAAGAAACGAATATGTTATTATTCATTTATTAAAGTCGTAAAAATGACAACATTATATCGTCTATGTTCTTCGTGAAAACACTATAAAAAATTTCATTCGCGGACAAATATGTTATCGGACAAGCTCGACCAGTTCCTTTTAGGGTGGATTTTAATAGGAGTACATATAACGCGAAGTCAATTGATGATTAGACCGGTTTACGTTTACAAACACGTTATACGCGGGATGCACGATTACTTTAATAATACGTGCATTATACTTTTACACGATACTCCAAATGTTATCGAGAGTACAGGTGAGTCGTACAAAATGTGTGAGTTTAACAAAATTTAATTCTAAATTTCAATTCTCAGATTTATCCTTTGAATCTGTCAAAATATCGAAAATTGAAATTATTAATAGAATTCGAAATTATTACAAAAAAGCAAAGCAAAGAAAAGAAAAGATAATCATTGGATACGGTATAATTGTATGTGTAAAGATTAAGTAATGATCTCTTTATTATTATTATTATCTTATAGATTTGGACGAGGCGGAAGAATTGTTGGCACTTCAAAGGTATCTCAGTGGTACTCTTCATATTCGTACGGCCATCATGGATTTTCATATGTTCAAGACACGAGTGAGAATGTCGACTTTGTCATTTTTTATCGGATAGACACATATGTATAAACTTTAATGATTCTTCTTTTATTTATTTATTGCTTCTTTTCCTTTTTTGTTTCTTTTTGTTTTTTTTTCTTTTTTTTTTTTTTTTTTTCTCCGAATAGGTGGGTACAAGCTATTATCACATAAAAAGGCCACTCTTCGTTTTATTGAATGATTACAACGATACGAGGGACGAGCTGGCACGTGTAAATGATTTCATACACATATACGTATAAAAGAAAATAATTAATCTTCGAAATAACTCGTTACAAATAATTTGAAACTTTAAGGAACCTACGAAGGGAAACATAGCGACTGTTTATTTTACCAAAATGTAGCAGGTTTCTACGTGGCTGGCAATGGAATATCCAACTTGGTTGCTCTTCTTCAGGAACGAGACCCAAATCGAGATGTTTTTTCGTAACATTTATATACCGTTCAATTGCCAATTGATGATAACTCGAAACAATAAAAACGATGAGATGATCTTTGAGGTCTATCAAATTGACAAACAATCGAAGATCAGGATAATGAATTTTGGCTCTTGGGATAGAATAAATGGTTTCAAAGGACCTACGTTGGGCCTCTATCAAAGGAGGAATGATCTTCATGGGCATAATATACGTGTTGTCATGACCCACGTTAGTTTAATTTCTTGAAAATCAACCTATAATTTGCTATGTCGTTTTCAATTCAAACAATTTTATAGGATCCTCCGGTATCCTTGATATATCGTAACGAGAAGAACGAGATAATTAAAGTGGGTGGTTTCTTCGGGGAGTTGATGAAGTTACTGCAGGAAGGCATGAATTGCACGTGAGTAGTAAAGTTTTTTTGTGTGTTTGTGTGCGTGCGTGCCATTTAAATGGGATAGAAAATATGAGAGAGAGAGAGAGAGAGAGAGAGAGAGAGAGAGAGAGAAGAAAATGAGCATACGATCAAAATGTTTCGCTTTAATCCGTTTTTTTCTTTTTATGTTCGTCTTTCTCTTTTTTAACACCATTATTTCTCTGGTTCCGTCGTTTCTCTAAACGTTCCCTAAGGTCTTCCAATAGTTTGGCAGTTTCCTTTCTAAAATATTCTTCTTGACTAGCCGATGATTTTTCTTCGAAAATATCTCTTTTCCTGCCATCACCGCTTCTTCGTCGTCTTTCCGAATACAATCTCTCATTTTGCCATAAAACTCGGATTTTATCGGTCCGACGTAAGAAGCATTCTCTCGCAATTCTACATAACATTTTTCTTACTCATCAAGCGCAACTTTCATCATCCCGTTGATTTGTCCTTCTATTTCATCGTGTCCTTTAATTTATCATTTTCTTTTCTTTTTTTTTTGTTTTCTCTCTTTCTCTCTCTCTCTCTCTCTCTCTCTCTCTCTTTTTTTTTTTTCCTAGTCGTTAGGCGGCTTTATAATATTGTCTATTGTGTGAATTTGACGTGAATCGCGCGACGTTTTGACAAAACGCATAGAACTTTCTATACCAGCCGCGATATAACGATCGTTTATTCGTTTTTCTCCCTTTTTATAGAACATAGATCATTATTCGAAAAATAGTTATTCACAATTAGACCAGAATGAAACGTTTTACTTATCTTAATTTCTCTTTCTGTCTGAATTATTGATATCTCGAAATTTTTTACGTCAACGAAATGAATAATATATTTTTATTTACGTTTATTCTCTTCGTAGATTGACTTACATAGAAACAGATTCTTGGGGTTTAAATCTGTTAAACGGAACCTGGACTGGTGCCATAGGGATACTGGTAAAAAACGAAGCTGATATCGCTGGCATGGAATTAATGATGACGTCTGACAGATTGGATGCCATCTCCTTCACTACTCCGGTTTTCTCCACGAAGTATGCCGTAATTATATCGATAATAGAATAAGACATTCTTTAATGTATATCGTTAATTGATTGTATCGTAAATCTATTACACGTACATGTATCATTATGTATCATTACATTGTCATTTAAGATGCCGTACATTCATCAAAAGACCGGATTCTACGTCTATCAAATGGCGAGCTTACACAGCACCCTTCGATGCCTACATTTGGTACTTTATAGGCTTGCTGATACTATTGAGCAGTGGAATGATATTGATGATCAAAATCGTGGTTAAATTGGTATCCTATAATGAGGACTCGGAACATTCACCGTCGACATTTTCGGAGATAATGTTTTATGTTTTCGGGGTATTTTGTAGTCAAGGTACGACGTATAGATAAGAACTTACGTACAGTAAAGATATTTACGTATTATTTTTGGTTCGTAAAAAAATATAGGTATGGAACAATCGCTGTTAGATCCAATTCGCATGGTACAATTTGTTATTCACTTAACCGCTGTTATCGTTTTGGCCGCTTACTCGGCGGCACTCATAAGTTTTCTGGCTATCAAGACTTTTGTTATGCCTTTCACGACCATGGAGGGTCTTCTCAAGGATGGTACCTATCGATTTGGAGTTATTCAAGAATCCGCGGATTATTCCTTCTTTCAAGTAAAGAATTTCTCATCGTTAAATCATCATAATTATGCGATCATTGGTTTTTTTATATACTGGAGAAAAAAAAAAATATCGTCATAAAATGTCGTCATTTTTAGAATACAACGGATAAAGTACTCAGCGTATTGTTTGCTAATTTATTAACAAAAGAGACCGATTTGCCTATCAATTATCTCGATGGTCTGAGCCGTGTTTGCAAGATAGACAAGTATGCCTTCATGGCGATGGATAATATTGCAGCGGAATTGCAACCAAAGCTTACTTGCAGCTTGGAATCTCTCGACACCATAACGCAAACGACCATAGCTATGGCAGTCCCTAATAGAAGCCCATACGACGGTATTATCAATGCCAAGTAAGAAGATTTTTCATTCAATCTCTATTATCTCTATTTTCTTTCTCTTTATTTTCTTTTTCAATTTTTTTTTCTCGGCTAAAAGATATCGTCCTCGTAAAGCTTTTATTTCTAATGATCATTTTATATTTTATTTTTATATGCAGCATTCTGACGTTGAGAGATAGTGGAATACTTCAACGTTTGCTTAACACCGAATGGTCCAATCAATTTACAAAGGTAACACGCTATTTTAAAATATATTTTCAAATGTTAAAGAATATAAAAGGTACAATGTGCTTGTACGTTTTTCAGCCTAAAAGCTCTTGGACGTCGGTCGAGCTTTTCGACATGGTGCCGCTATTAATTTTCATGTTTTGTGGCTCCGTCATTAGTTCCTTTTTACTTTCTTTAGAGTATATGATACATCGACAAGTCGCGAATAATAAGAAACTGCGAATCGTACGAAAGAGACGTGTGAAGATATTTTAATATTAGATTTTAAATAATTTAAACGAGAGTGAACAATATGATTAATCATCTTTGTGTGCATGATCGGTCCGTGAAGAGGAATAAACATTTTATTTGTTTTTTTTTTTTGTTATACTTTGAGATACGTATAAATATATATATATATACATATATAATCCGTCGGCAAAAAATTGCTCGACAAATTCGGTGTTTACTTTTCAATAATATTTAGAACGTTCGAGAGCTTAGCGAAGATCGGTTCGTCCTTCTGATTTATTTTGCTGTAGACATTTATCTCTCTCGTGTACGTTTAACGTGTACGTACGTAGTTCTTGATTATTAAATTACGTTGTACGCTCTTTGTGCTTTCGTTGATTTTCATCTAAGTTTCGACATGTCAGAACGTCGTAGAATTTTTTCATCAACGAGATTAAACGAGCAAGAGAGAGCATTCGGTAAGGAGAATATTTGCGATTTAAGGCAATCCAACAAATTGGCTGGTACCAATTCTCAGAAGGCTCCATCTTCGAAAAAATCTCATCCCAGTGATATCGGTGGTCCGTGTTATTGTAATGTGAACCCGTGTAACAATATAATTTACAACAATGTCAAGTCGTCGGCGAAAAAGACACCGTTTCGAATTCACTTTGATCGTGCTGGAAACGATTTTAACAAAGGAGTTCGCGTTCGAGAACGGATCGTCGAGTATGATACTCGCAGGATCGAGGAACTTAAGAGAAATACACGATTTTTGGATAATAAGGTTAGTAGATAAACAAACGTTCGTACGTTCACGACTAATCGTGATGGAATTGTACGAATGAACAGCTCGTGTTATGCCCGAGACGCGATTTTTACACGAAGAAAGAACAACCGGAAGTGAACGTGGCCCAGAATTTCAAGAAGAACAAGGAGATCGTTCCTAACTCACCCGTTTCTTCATCTTCCGATAAAAGGACAGTAAGATCGGTTAAATCCATTTTCGATCTCAAATTACCAAAGGGACAGATTTCAATTACAAAATCTTTGGTAGATCTTTCTCAGGAGTAAGTCGTTACGAAACATTACGTCACTTTAACAATCTATGCGCGGGTACATATAAAAGAAAAAATTTTAATTATTGAAATCGAATCTGTTACATTGATGTTCATAGAAGTAAACAATCAACAAACATTGTCAACAAAGTCCGCGATGCAAGTAAACAAGATTTTCGTCCTACAAAGTCTACGTACGTTGAAAAGTGAGTTTCTACGAAAATACAAATTTATTCAAATGTGATAATAACAAGTTGAAAACTTTTATCGTAGGAAAGAATTGTTGTGTACGACGTCTCACTTACGCTCAAGATATTGTTCCGATCAACGGACAGTCGTCGTAACTAGGAGCAGAATAGCCTCGACTGGTTCTACAAACAAAGATATTGTCGATCGACAGAAACAACAGGGTGGTGGATTGAATAAATGGAACGCATTCGATGGTAACAAAGATTCATTATTTGCGGGTATTTCGACTATACTTTCCTCCGATTCGTTCAAGAATCAAGCTATTACTAGAGGTCCGAATAAGTCTGACTCATTCGATATATTGATATCTCGAGGAAAATTAACGAACGATCGGGAAAGGCAACCGTTGGTATGGAATAAAATTCCATCGAAGGTATAGAATATATATATATATATATACGTGAATCATTCATGAAGTTGTCTGGCAATAAAATATTATCTTTATTTAAGGTACAAGGAAAAGTAAAAAACGATTGGGAAGTCGTTAAACAGAATACTGATTTTTCTCCGTACTTGTTATATCATGCCGATTATCTCGTTGATCTGCTGACTATTGAAAAAGATAAGGAAGATAATTCACCAAAATTATCTTCCGGATTTATCGACAAATATACTAATAACGAACCGAGAAATATAATAGTCGCTTTTCTCATACATCTGGCTGTAAGCGTGAATCCTTGACAATTCGAAAGTCCTGTCACTTATGATTACATCTTTTTTTCTCTTTTCTTCTTTTCTTCTTTTTTTTTCTTTTCTTTTCTTTTTTTTTTTTTTTTTTTTTCTACAGACACATTGCCGCTATCCGTCGTTCATTCTTTATCAAGCGGTGAAACTTTTTGATATTATTCTCGACAAAATTCCTATAGATATAACGGACATGCAACTGGTAGCTATAACAGCGTTATGGGTTGTCCTGAAGAAAGAAGGAAACTTCAATAACGTTCCATCGGTTGTAACAAAATCTTATAATCCAACATGTCTATGTTGAAAATGGGCATATTAATGTAAGAGATAAGTTTGTTTTTGTTTCTTAACTTAAGACAACTGTTGTTTTAGGCAACATTAATGCTCGGCCTAATTCCAAATCAACAGTACGCTAACGTAGATATATTGGCCGAATGGGAGAGAGTGATCTTGCGTTCTCTCAAATTTAATATATCATTTTCCGATCCATTTTCTATTTTCGTTTTTTACGTGGTTAATTGCGATTACCACGATCAGGATAGTATTTGCAACCGTACCATCACCAAAATCTATTACTGCGGAGGTTATATTGTACGTGATCGATATTTTTTCGTGATCGAACATTCGAATATTTTAATATGTTCTTTTTCTTTTTCCAACCAACCCCCGCCTTCGAACCCCCCTCCCCTCTCGCAGATCGATTTGACGTTATTGGATGTGAACTTTAGTTACATAACGTCGAATCATTTGGCACTCGCTACGGCTGAATTAGTAATGTGCATTGTCCTGGACAGTGATGCCGATTTATCAAACCCTCGATGGCATTTCTGGAGACGCATTATAACAGATGGTATTAAAATTCCAATAAGGTATTGTCATCTTCAAAGTTGGAAAATATTTTCGTAGATCAAACAAAAAGATCGCTTTCTAATTATAACATTTTTCTTCATTTATGAAAAAGAATTTACGACGATGAGATCAACGTGTTAAGATCAACTATGATCTCTCACGTTTTGGAGTCAGAGAAAAAGCATACGAAGGAGGAGACGGTGAAAAAAAGATATGGTCACAATAGATACGGTAATATTTCGAACTTTCTTCTAGAGAAGATAAAGAAGATACCGCCTGAGAACTATTCGATTTCTATGTAATTTCTTTTCATTGGTTTTTTATTTCTTGACCGTTTTTCTTTTTCAATACCTTTCGCCCCTACGTCATTTGTCATACATCGTCTGTATCCGTTTAAGTGGGATCAAGAAAAAAAAAAAAAAAAAAAAAAAAAAAAAAGAAGTTTAATTTATTATTTAGTTATAAGATTATAAGAAGGAAAGAAATATTTCGATTATATTGCACTTTATTTAGCTCTGATTATATTCATTAATGTTTCAAATCGAATCGCATAGATGCTCGTTCATATATACACCCACACATTATCACTTGAATGTTATACAAGTACGTTAAAGAAATATAATATATTCGATTGGTTGTCAGTTTCGTTTGTATCACCTTTTTAACTCCCGCCACATTCCGTGTCTAAATATGTAGGTATATAATGCCTTTCATCGATTATTTACGATCTCTTTATTTACGGGATCCTTAAGCCTTGATTTTATAATCCGCTTTTGTCGTAGCCCACGTGTTCCATTGGGTCCATGAATTGTCGACTGAAATAAGATTTGTTGCGTCGTCCTGGTCGACGACAAAAATTGATTCGTGATAATACATTGACAAGTTTTACGATTCATTTACGCATATACAAATATGTATATATGTGTGTACATATACATGGGTTACCTTGAACAATACGTTGGGATGACCACCCCAGCTACCGAATAGTCGTAAGAGATCTGGTTTCTTAGAGTATATCGTACTGGCTGCCAAAACACCATGTTTCAATTCGTCCAAAGCATGTACCGTTTTTCCAGCAGAGCTTAAAATGATGCGCGGTGGTTCTAATCCCAGATTGCATCTCGACCATTCCTTAACCGGTGCTAAACCACCGTCAGGACAGACCAACATAAAGTCGGATGTCTTCACGCCACCTTCAGTCTCGTTCTTCTTATCTACGAACGTGATTAATAAAAATTTTAGAAGAAATAGTATTGAAATAGGATATGAAAGATGAATTGTTGTAGATATTGACCAATTTCCATGAGAGCAGGTAGAGGCAAGAAGGCCACATCACCCTTGTCCGAAGTCAGACATCTAAAGCAAAAGGATGATGGTTCGTTTATTAGGAATGAAATTGTGAATAACGATTTGTTTATTAATACAACATAGGATAGCAGAATATTTACTTGATAGCACCTTGACCTCCTTTAAAGGCTTCCGCCTCGGTCGGTTTACACTTAGTTGCCTCGGTTACTTTGTCGTCATTGGATGCAATGTTACCAACACACTGCTGACACAATTTCGATCCTGGCTGTGCGCCAGGTGCGCAGGAGCCATCAAAGAATTCTGTTAGATCATCTTCCGAGGTAATCAAATTTGCTTTCTTAAGAGTGTGAACCGGTGCCAACCATCCAGCAAAGTCGTCTTGGTAACCACTGTGGCAAGATCGTTTGCCTCTCAAATCGGCTAGAAAAAATCGGTCGTAAAATATTTAATTTCTTTTTTATTGATGATCTTTTAATAAGGTGATAATTGGATGAAGCACGATTATTATTTACCAAGTGCTTTGATAGGGCTGCCTTTTTTAACAACAACAACTGCCGGTCTTTCGCTATATTTCGTCGAGCCGCTTCCATAAATTTCTGAAATAATCGGTTGCGCATTGAATTCCGTTATTGCACGTAGTACCGATCCACCATCAACGACTACTAAATCAGCCCCATCATCTCTGACCGCTACCAAACAGGCGTCCTGAGTCTTCTCCAACAAGCAAATCAGTCTGGGTCTAGCATCTCTAATGGATAGATAATACAAGAATCAATCAATTACCCTTCGTTAGATTTATTCTTTAAACATTTCAAGAATAACAATTACCTTGAGTGAGCTGCTCTACTTAAGGCACGGCACTTGTTCAGATCATTCTGAGTCCATACACACCAGCGGGCATTCCTTTCTGGTGCACCCGAGTTCCTTTCGATGACGTCCAAGTATTTGGCATTCTTCAAATGTTGTTCAGGAGCAATCGGCGACGAAGCAACGGCCAGAGTTTTTTCATCGAGCAGCAACAAATCTTTCCACCAAGCAGCCTTTTCCTTTTCACCCAATTGTCCTAATTCGGTTAATTCCTGAGGACGTACGTACATACATGAAGCTTTCGTTAAGAGTAACATATTGAAACGTTAAAAGTAACATTTTGTACGACTATAAAGTATATATACCTTTTGAACGGCTTCTATGTTGTTAACACCACCGTTAGCCATATATCCTTGCCATGGTCGAGCAGCCCAAGTACAGGGCTTGGTATCGGCATTGATGGGTACCTTTGTGCCATCAGGACAGAAGTAAAGGTAATTGCTTGGATCTTCGTTCGTTGGGACCGCTGGTGTAACGCCGATAGGCAATCCGAAAAATCGTTTAACGTAAATAACTTTCGTCCAGGCAATATTCCCGCCGTTGTGAGCGAGACAACGCAGAGCACCTTCGTAACCCGAATATATATCTGGATAATCGCAAATTTCTGGTTTTTCGCAAAGCGCGCACATGTTACTGTACGTTTCCTCTGCAATTGAGATATTATCATCTTAAATATTATCTATTTCCAATATAAAATGCAAATCAAACGAAATTGAACTTAAGAGATACCAACTGAGTCTTTGATTTATTGCTGGATCAGGTGACCAAGTACCAACTAGGCAACCCTCGCTGAAGAGCGAGCTCAATGCCCGAAGTTCATTCTCGCGGGCAGAATATTCTGGATCGTTTATGTTACCGAGTACACCCAAAGCCGTCAATTTCGTGAGAGGTATTTTGTAACCGACGTTACGTCCAACACCAGTGTGACAAGATTTTAAACCGCGCAGTCCTTGAACGTCGTTTATGTTCAAATCCTTGTGTATCACAGCAACTGCTTCGTAACGATAGGCCGCATCCGGTTCTTCCTTTGTTCTTACCTTTTACGTTGAAAATATAAAGACAAAGGGTAAAGATGTTTCGATAATCACCTACGTGGTTATTTTTTGCGATTTATACATATTGTCTCTTTTTTTGGTCACCTGTTCTACGACGTTGTATCCGGCCTTCAAAGCTAACTCGTTGTCCTTAGCAGCTAAATACATGTCTTCCGGATCGACAGCGACTACGTCGGCCTCTTTTCTACCAACCTTCTCTACGCATTCGTATCGATCGCGACCGGAAATGCAAGAAATAGGGATTCCTTTGCTCGCCGAATCTTCCATCATCTGCACGCATTCCTTCCAATATATTTCCGGTATACAAAGGGTAACTGGAAAAGGAAAGGAACGAAATAATAAGAGAAAAATAAATCGACTTCTCTGCCTTTCATATGGGATACTTAAGGATGAGATCTAGTTTCTCGCGGGAGAAGAATGCAATCGTCAAGTGGCCGCATTCAAAGTCTTACGCATGCATTATTTCGTTACTCGCTCTATTGCTCATCGTTCCTTTCTGATTGTCCCATTAATTTGATTTAATGGACGTCACGAACATTCACGGGATTGGGCAGTGTCTACACCGCACCGACTAATGCGACCTGATAAGACTCAATCGAGATAATTACATTATTCATTAATACAATATGCTTTAGCGATCAATCTTTCGGTCATATTTTCGAGAGTCGCTCGAAAGTTTCTGATATAAATTTTGCAACGTTAAGTAAAGAACGACTGTATATAGTAATAATAATAAGAAATTTAATCTAATCGAATGATGCGGCAGAAGAAAAGAATTAAAAGAGAGTAAAAGGACTAGACGAATTTTAATGTTTGTTAACAGAGAAAATAAAAACTTAAAAAATTGAAACTTTGGTTAGCGCTATATCGTAATGGCGCGAAAATCGAATGAAACAGCGTCTATAAACTTACAGACGAGTCTAGATTGGCCAACAGCAGCGTTGCTGGTCATCATCACAGCCGCTAAGCTCGCAAGGATCATGATACTTTTGTGGCACCACATTTTTATCACTTTTAGTTGTTCTTTTTCTCACACTTTCGGAAAGCTCTTCGTTCTCGAAGAACGAGAGTGGGAAGGAGGAAGGGAGGAAGAGAGAGGATTGAAAACTAAATGAAACAACTTGAAAGAATGGCGTTTATCTCTCGACGAAAATTAAAATATTATAAAATTTTGTAACGTAAACAATGAACCAGAGTAATAATTTAGCCTCGTACTATTCGTAACGAACGCCAACGATATACCAACGTGGCAGGATTGTTCGAGCGTCCTTATATATAGGAGCACACTTTTCCTCCTCGAATTTCCGAGGTCGTTTGAGAGGGGAGTTACTGACGTTACATCGACGACGACGACGACGACGACGACGACGACGACGACGACGACGACGACGACGACGACGACGACGACGACGACGTTCTGTCTCGTTCTTCTCTTTTTCTTCCTCCACTAGGTTGTTGTGTCTCGCGACGTAAAGGAATCGTCAGTCCTCTCCTACCCCCACCCACCATCCCCTGCGACCTCCTCTCACCGTGCTATCGTTATCTATTCAACTGTTATAGTTGCCATCTTCTGTGGATTAACCAAGATTATGATACAGTTACGGAATTTCCAGTCATACTACCTCCTTCCTTACCTCTCCTTCCGCTTTTCTTCCTCTTGTATGCATACAGTTGATCAGGATCGCGACTTTCTTAATAGCTTTCTTTTCTTTTCTTTTCCCGATATTTTTCTCTCTGTATTTTAGCAAAATAACTTACATAACGTCGTTGAATAAACGATTTGAGATATCGCTATTGAGAGGGAACTAATGTTTACGCCTGCGTTACGATTTTTGAAATACTTTTAGCGTACACCATTTTTATTTATTCAATCAATGTAAATATATACATGTATGCTATATTCTTTCCTCTTTTCACGAAGTGAGAGAGAGAGAGAGAGAGGGAGAGAGAGAGGGAGAAATTCAAGGTGAAGCCTACAGTTTGAAATAAAGGATGTTTCATCCAAGATCTAGAAGCGAGTTTCTTAATGATATGTCTGTAGAATTTTTATATCGAACGTATCCGAGGTTAAGAAAGACCAACAGTATTATCGTCTTCTATTTTGTTTTATTTTATATCACCTACTGTTTCTTTTTATCGTGTTTCCACGAATATTTATTCCGTCATTTTCCTGTTAGAAATTTCTATTTATTTCTTCTATTTTCTTTGACTTCTCAAAGATAAATATAAATATAGATAAACTAGCCTGATCGTAAGAGTATGCACGCGTGAATTAACTTATCTCTTATTAAGATTCAACTTAGTAAGAGTGAGAACCTCGAAGAATCTTTCTTGGTTCTTTTTCGCCATGACTCGGCAGAGTATATTCTTTTTCTTCCACCTTCTCCTCATCCTCTTCCTCTACTGTTCAACTTTCTTCTTATGGCAAAGACAAGTAACTCGAGTCTAACGAAATAATATCCTTTCCTTCGTTAAAATCCTCTTTTCTCTCTTTATATCCGCTGTTTAACTTTAAAGGATTTTCATTTATATGTGCGCACGTTTAAAATTATGCAAGGACGAAGACATTTAAGCCCTTTTCTTTTTTTTCTTCTTACATTTTGTCTCTTTTCATAATAACGTCTCGCATTCAAATATTTATAAATATAAATTGAAGTTAAAGGAAATGGGCGCAAACCAGATAGATGCTCTGTTAATTTTTTTAAAAGGAGATGAAACATTATTTGTTATTTATATATTATTCTTCTATGAGGAAAGAGTGAAAGGAAAAAAAGAGAGAAAAAAGAAAAATAATTAGGAAATGTTATTGGTTAATAGATTAAAATTAATCGACAAGGTCATTAATTGACCCGAAAAACGGGAATTTTTATTATATAATATTACAGGTCGACATTATCGTGTCGGGAAAGAACTCATCTTGTTTTGTTGTTTGTATTCTTATGCCAACGGCGATAAGAAAGTGCGTTTAAAATTGTTATGCCAAGCGGGATTTATTGAATCGAAGAGTCGGATAAATTCGAAGTCTAAGCGACTCTAATCGCGAGTGCAATGTTAAAAGTTGATCGTAATTTTCCTTGATGTTCTTTGCTAGCTCGGTCCTTTTCATAAATACGGCAAGTTTCTTTCTACGAAAGTTAATATCCTTTATTCTCGAGGAATTTTGCCTTTGCGAAGAAAATTCTCGATTTTTCAATTTAATTCTTTCGATTTCGTTCGCCAATCTTTCGTTACTCTCTCGCCAATATATTATATCCTTCGTGATTTTCTCGAGACGTTCTCTCTCGCTATCCAATAGTTTCTCGTATCGCTGAAATTTTGATTATATTCGTTATCGTTCGCTCGAACGTACGAAAATCTTAAATAACATGAAAACTCACGTCTACCATGGCGCGCGCATTCCGTTCGATTTCCTTGTACTCTATTCTTGGATTTGTCGCAATCGATACTTTATCCAAGTATTTTTGTAATTCTCTCGTTATCTGAATAATAAAATAATCGACAATATTACACGCAGAGATAAATTGCTACGTTCGTTGGGTACCAACCTTGACCTCGCTAATACTTTTCGATTCCATCAGAAGATACTTCAATGTATATCGTAGACATTCGTGTCGACACTTTTGGTAAGATATTCTCTTTCTTAAATTAACGGACTTTATGATAGCCATTAACTTTTCTTTATCAGCTTTTTTGATTTCTTCGTTCGTTGAAAGAAATTCTCGGCGTGATATCAAAACAACGTCTGTGAAATCGTCGAGACCTTGGCCAAGGATAGATAACTCGATTTGTCCCATCTTCATTACCAATTGTATCTCCCTATCCTCCACGTATTGATGAAATTCTATTTCTTCTTTATCCAATTCCGCTTTTGATCGGTACAACTTATTTTGCGCGGCTAGTTTGCTTCTATAATAGAAGGCCAAAGTTTGTTCCGCTTCGGCCAATTCAACGACACAGCATCTGACCTTTGTGAATTTGAAATCGCTTCTTATCGACATCGATGATATCGGTACTTTCATAATAATTATACGAGACCTCATTGCATCGTCTTTCTTTTTATTTTATAAAAAAGAGAGAAAAAAAAAAAAACAGAAGAACAGAGAGAAAACTCGATTCGAATTTTGATTAACGATGTATCCCAAAATAAGCGCAAAGTGATAAATGGGATAAATCGATGGAACGTTTTGAAAAATTGTTATAATACAAATGGATTGTCATCTGCAAACGTATCGACGTTTAATAATTTTCTACTAATCTTACCTTCATCTCCATCTCGATCTTCGATCTTCTTAATTTACACATAGTTTTCCAATGGATATCATCGATCAAGGATGAAACGTTATTTGGAATCGAGTCGAGAGCTTGAAGATTTCGAAGATAATTCGTACACTCGATCGGCAATATATCGGATTTTTCATTGGTTATCACACACCTTCCGAGTTCCGTTAGATACGTGATAGATGTACAAGCAAGATTACCGATCCTCGGTCTTCTCTTATAATGCCTGAACAAGTGTTCGATCTTTGGTTGCTTCAAATCACCGAACTCGCTAGGAAACTTCCCTTCGAGGGCTTTGTCACGTTTAACGAGACTCTCGTATCGATTTTTCAACTCGTCGACGATCGTTTCGAAGATCGAGCAATCCTCCACGAGTCTTTGAACCTTATCCGTGATATCGGCTACTTCTTCCGTTTTAAAACGTGCGATTTTAGCATCCTCATTGCATATACGACGATACCTTCTTATCTCACGAACCCTTAAAAGTTTCTCTTGAAGAATCGAAGAATCCATAGCTGTCTTATGTGCCTCGAAATTCTTCAATTTCTCGTCAAAGGACATAAACCTCTTGGTTATCTTATCTGCACGAATGGATCTATTATCGAAGATCGAATATTGATATTACGAAAAGATTTCTCGAGAATGAATGAATGATCAACCGACCCTTTGTCTCCTTCATTTCCATTTCCAAAATCGATCGGTACTTTTCCCGTTCCGATTGCAAACGTTTCACTTTAATTTTATACGATTCCTGAGATTTCATCTCCTCCGGGGTAAGCTTGAACGGTGCTTTGTTTTCTAATAGGCAAGTTGCTTTAGGAATATCTTTCTTTATTTCATCCTCCCATCTGAAAGAGTTTTAGGAAGAAAAAGAAATATTTATTTGCAAATAAATCTCTTTTATAATTATAATCAAATTATTCGTTCGTAATACTTACCTAAGTTCTAAGACACCGTCCATCATCTTTTCTAAAGCTGACGCGTAAAAACTGTAATCCTTCGAATAGAGTTTTAAATTACACTCGTTGAAATTTTCTTTCTTCTCTTGGATAGATTCGTTTTGCGAAGAAACGTAAGGATAAATATCCGATACCTCGTTCTTCTCAATAATGGTAATGACATAGTCGGGTATTTCGGAATGATGCCAAATCGGTATTATCGAGGGTTCGATCGTACATTTATTTTCAAACATCGAATTTATCTCTAAAGCGCAACGTTTTAATCTCTCTTCTTGTTCCCTCGCCGTTTCCATTTCTCGTCCTTTCAACGATCTCATTTCGTCGAAAAGCACGTTGAAATGATTCTAAATCGTTTCAAACAACGCGTTTATCGACGATGAAAAGGAAAAGAAAAAGAGACGAAAGAAAGAAAAATGTTTGATTTATTAATTGGACTCTTGGATCTTGTTTGTACTTAAGAAGAATATCATCGATGTCAATTTTATACATCGATACGTGGCTAAAAATTAACGGGACTATTGACACAAAATTGTTTGCAATATTTTCGAACTACAATATTTTTTGCAAATCTAACAAAGTGTGACCGCATGAAAGAACACACTTCAATGTTTATAAATATAACGAACGAACATATCGATGGTATTTTTGAAATCATTTCCCCTAAATATAGTATCCAAGAATCTTTAATTCTTTAATCTTTTTCGACGTCGAAACGTTTGTTGCGCAGTCTAACGAGAACGATTCATTTCACGTGAACAATTACCACTTACCATCAATAAATACTCACGACTTCTAATAACATTAATTTTATCGAGGCCATTCAGAGATGAATCTCGCAATTGTTTTAATTGATGAGTCAATTTAATTGTCTCATTTTTAATCCACTTATGAGTGCTCGTCCCTGATAAAAGGAATCTTTCGTCGCTGTTAGCCGATTCATAAAATAGATCTATCGTGTTAAGTTCGCTTCTCATATTTCTTTCGATAGTTACTTTATTTATTACGTTTTCATTATGTTCTGATGATTGATAATATTCCTCCAGTCTAAACGAGATAAAATGTAAAAATGATGTGTGTTCGTTTAAAACAAAAAAAAAAAAAAAAAAACAAACCAAAAACAAAAGAAGGAAACAAAGAAAAAGATACGTACCTGGAAATGGTATCAAG